CTGAGGATTCTCTTTTTACGAGGAAAAGGAACCAAAATCATCATCGAAAGGATATACTTTATAGGATATCTTGATAGCAGTGACTAGAAGGCTCTTATATAGTACCTAAGGTATCACTTCCTAATTATCACTACTTCATAAGTAAATAGTTAAATATATGGTCTTTATAAATCACAATTATTTTGCTATTGAATCTACTGCCTATAAGGTTATGGTACTACTAGGCTCATCTTAGTTCCTATCGTTTGACAGACTCGTAGGAAGCGCAGATATATGTACGATCTAACTATGTATATCAATTTGCAAAATAATGGAACTTTTTGTTGATTGAAAACCCAAACACAAACGCCACCCAGTGCCATCCATGATCGTCAATGATAACATTCAGATTTCTTCCATAGCATGCAGATTGCTACTAATTGTCCTCCATGTTCAACTCATCAAAGTCATCAAGCAGCTCATCCATGTTGATTTTAGGCACGGAGTTTCCATCTTCGTCCATATCATCATCACCGTCCTCATCCATCTGGTCTGCCCGGACCTGGTACTGGCGATTCTTGTACAGATCAAGCGTTTGACGCAGCTCCTGATCCTCCTCGACATCACGCAAGAACATTTCGTAATCTTGTTCCATCCGGGCCTGCTCCTGCTCCTGGCGCTTGTTCGTGGGGACATTGACGACGGCGGCAGTCGCTTCCTCTTCGTGCTCGCGAGCCATGCGCTTCAAACGCCAGCTGCGGGCCTTAGACTTCTTGCTGCGGACGTAGTGCTTCTTGATAAGAACCACATCGGGGATTGTTGAGCTGTACTGGTTGCTATTCTCAATTGCATCGAATTGATCGTTGTTGAACTGGGTTCCTGACAAGTGGTATCCGAGAACAGAGTCACCCACGTGCAGAACACCACCGAGGTGAGTCCGTGTGAAATAGGTTGTATCGTTAGATCCAAGATCTGAGGCGCGAGCAACTGTGGCCTCGGATAGGAGGTACCGGCCATTAGTGTGGCCTGTGGATTCAATGTCCAAGACAATAAATTCCCTAAGCTCAGTGGTGTCCGCAAGATTAGGGAATGGCTGGCGCCAGTAAGTGCTAGAAGGAAGATCGGTTTGCCGGAGTGTGCAAGGGTCCATAAGGTTGATAGATGTGCCTACCCGGTGGCAGATAACGAGCGGGCTTATATCAGACAATGAGCGGGCAAGCTTAATCGGCAGAGCAACCAGATCATCCTTGCAGATAGGGATAATAGAAACACTGTTGAACAATCCTGATTAGTGAACGCCTTTTGCGCAAAGAGGGGGGCATGAATTTACCTAAAATTGAATTTGTAGCTCGAGGTCGAGGTGTGGATATCCATGGAAATTAACTCGTGACTTTTCTTCACTGTGCACGGAATTACAGCTGGTAGCTGTTAGTAAACTTGCATTGTAGGTAAAGGGGAAAACACTCACATGACAAGAATGAAAGCATACGCTCGGCTTCATTCCTCTTTGCAAAGAAGAAATCAAGACCCTCGTTTACTTCCTTGATGTTGACGGTATCCTTGTGGGCATTGTGCTTGAGGATAAGTTGTTCCAGGTACAAGAATGTCCGCTTGTGAGGGACCTTCTGTCTGACCTGCACCGAAGCTTCCCAACTGTGATGGGTATAACTCTTCTGACATCTGTAGCGCAGTGTAAGTAACTGCGTATATAGTTGTTTCGGGGGACTGAGCATACCCAGGACACTGCTGATTGGCAACAACATATTCGACCTCAAACTGCTGCTGTATGATAGTGCCTTGGAAGGCCTCCGCTTGTAGGTTGTTAGCTTCGATCCTTCGGCTAGATGTGTAGATGTCTGACTTGGTGGATACTTCCACTTTCAGCAGTAGGGCAAAACTAACTTTGTATAGTGATTTTCAACTTCAATCTCTTTGAATGAGGCTCTGTCCAAATAAAGCTGGCGTCGATGATTCGGACTTTGTTCAGACCACGGAGCTTGCGTAGACAAATGGCGAGTAGTTCCTTCGACTCGAGAGCTGCGACGACCCAGCTGTTGGGGGGCTGCAGCCACCGTTCGCAATCCCTGCAGCAGTGAATCACCGCTTCGCGTTGCACCTAGAATTCAGAGTTCATGTCAGCTAGAACATATGGTAGGCGTGTAGGAAGGCTTCTTTTAACAAAGCCCACGAATCGAGTTGTACATACACCTCCGGCAACATCGACAGTAAGACGAATACAATCCGAACACAAGGCTCCGGCTGAGAGAGTTCCATCGATGGCGGCGCCACAGTTGCAGCAGAGAATGCTACAAATAAGTTAATATGCGGTTCATAGGTGGGGGAATACCTCTGTAGGTAAAGGGCGATAAGAACTCACGTCGCTGCGACTTTCTCCTGCTGCTCGAAGTAAACGGGGGCATCCAAATCCATCGACATTTTGAGTGGAATAAGGAAACAGAGCCCTGACTGAAAAAAATCACCAGGGTATTGAAGACTCGAAGACAGCGTCGTGGATTTGTGATAATTGCCCCCCACCTGAATCTTTTTTCAGATGACTCAGCTGTTTGCAGTGTTTGCTGCCGTTATCTGGTATCACCAAATGTCATGGCCTCGGGAGCAAATTAACCTTGGAATCTGGGAAGATCTCAAAACTTCCATTTATTTTTTCAATATAACCATCGCCATGAGCAGGGCTCTTCTAAGAGGGGCTGTGTGCCAGTCTTGTCGGCATGAAGTACTGCGATCCTTTGTTTCTGTCTCCGGCATCCCAATGCCACGATCCTATCCTCTTTCCTCTCGTTCGATCTCCAACCCTAGAGCTTTCTCCGCTGTAACCTTGTTGCGGTCTGATCGCCCTCCAACTTCGAACCAGCTTGACATTCATTTATCTGAACCAGAAGAGCCAGCGCAATTGGAAACCAATACTCCAGTTTCCTCACAACATGTTCCCTGGTATCTTCAGGAAGAAGCGCCGATCATCAAAGAGCGCGCGTTGAGCGAAGCTCATCTTCCCCAGATCCCAGAAAATTCGCCTGAGATGCTCTCGACTCTATTGGAGTATACGTATAAGGACTTGGGATTGGATGGTCTCAAACTGTTTGACCTGCGCGGCCTCGAAATCCCTGCAGCTCTCGGTGCTAATGTTATAATGGTCATCGGAACTGCTCGCAGTGTGAAGCATTTGAACGTGTCTGCGGATCGTCTCTGTCGCTGGCTGAGAAGTCAATACAAATTATCCCCCTACGCCGACGGCTTACTTGGACGCAACGAGTTGAAAATCAAACTCCGCCGCAAGGCTAAGCGAGCACGCGCTGCCAGTGCAGCAGGCGCAATGATCGACGAAAAGGACGATGGAATCACAACAGGATGGATTTGTGTAAATGCGGGGATGGTGGACAAAGGCGCTACTACGACCCAGTTGAGCGATGTTGGAATTGAAGGTTTTGGTAATCTTGACCTTGGGACTAGTGTGGTTGTCCAGATCTTCACCGAGGAGAAGCGGGCTGATGTTGACCTTGATGGCCTCTGGGAAGCTACTTTAGCTCGTGAAGGGCGCAAAAACTCCCGGGAGAGCAAAGATGATACCCCCAAGACTGGTGCGGCGCACCCTAGGTCTATGTCTGATGGATTTGGCTCCATTCCTGGCCAAAGGAGAGGCTTTCATACCATGCGTAGACTCGCACTATCTGCCATGAACTCCGCCGAGTCTGGCTTAGACACTGGGTTTCCTGGCCTGGGGAATTCATCTTCTACACTTCCAGGCGACGCAGCAGCAGTTGTATCCCAATTGACACCGGCATCTTTGCTTCAAACTCTCACTGAACTTCCGGCGGACAGTGCACGGAATGAGCTTGGGAGCGGCCCAAATGATCGTCAGTCCACTCTTTTTCTACGGCTCTTCTATACCAATCACGCCGCGCGGCTTTCTGCACAGGAAAAAGCCACTTTTCGATTGAAGTTGTTTTCTATTGCAGTGTCTCGGCAACACCCAGCTTACACCAAGGACGCCCTCTTTAGCACATTCTCTGATTTTCTTCGCGACGGGTATGACCTTCCGGATGACCTTGGATTCGATGTTGTTTCTGCGCTTCTAACGCCGAGAACAGCGGCTGCTCTCGCCGAGCAGTCTGAAAATCTTCATGTAGAGGCAGACATGGAACTTGCTTTGTTAGTGCTGGATCGCTTGAGCCTCCGTGGTGTGCCAATTTTGAATATGAGAATCTTCAATATACTCTATCAAGCAGTCTGTGCACCTAGTCCAGCACTTCTGAGCCCGAAAGAATCGCGCCCGGAAAAATGGTCTCCAATTTCGTCTGTGGCTCAACAGACCGAGTCTCAGAAGCAAATCTTGTCTCGGCTTTCCAAGATACTCGCTGTGTCTAACGTTCCATTCAACGCGGTAGACGCGCGTCAGCTTATGGTGACATTATTCCAATGCGGGGATTACGATGGTTTCTGGCGCCTGTGGCGCCAGTTTCCCTTGAAGGGTGCTAATCGCACACAAGAGGATTACGTGCAGCTGTTCGAGTTGCATGCTGAGCTGGGCGAGGAAGTGCGAGCGCGCGAGTGTCTGTCGGTGGGGGTAGAATTGATGAATGTCGAGTCCCCTGCCATTGTGCTACAAGGTCCGATAGTCACAGCCATCATGCATTGTATTTTGGTGGCAGACCCGACACTCCAGGACCGAGGTGAAGAAGCGTCTCCGAGTTTCTATATGCCGCTCTGGACCAAGTGCCAGGAGGCACTTGCTCTGGGAAATTGAATGAGGGATCAATATGTAAAATAATCTAGCCTATATTATCCAGTGTACAATATTACGATGCGTGTCTAATGTTAAATTGACTTGTAGTTAGATCTTCGATGTATGGAGGGTATGCTGGGGCCGCTCAGGTGCCCAGAGCGACGTAGTCAGCTCGGATAAGTTGAGCCTCGGCATATGATCACGTTGGTTCCGGCGACTCTTCCTTTCCTCAAAACACCTTCCAACACCACCCTAATAAGGATGACTGGCACTCCTGAAGATGGAGTACCTTCCTAGTCTTCAACAGGAGTTCGATGAGCACAAGCCGTCGCTCTTCGGTAAGTCGATTGATGCTTCCCCGCGGAGATGGAGACTCACCCCCAGACATGGGGAACTCCCCCCATATATGACTGGAATTGCTAACGCAGAGATCGTGCTTGAGAACAGAACTCCTCGCTGAGCAACAACTCTCTGATCTTCTCCCTCCATCTTTGCGTTATCTTCTTGCTGTCGCAACACACCGCCACCCGCGCTACCTCCTCCGGATCCTCAATTCATACGACGAAGTCTACGCCCTCCTCTCATTAATTGTCGAACGTTACTACCTGCGAACATTCGGCGGCTCCTTTACAGAAAATTTCTATTCCCTGAAACGTGAGCGCGTTCTCCGCACCAAGAATGGCGAGATCCCGCGCGCCCAGGTCGGCGCTGCAGGCCCCGTCCGCGAGGCCCTAAAGCTGCATTCGACGGACATCTGGAAGAATTTGTTCGTCATGGTTGGCATCCCTTATATAAAACGCAGATTAGATGAAGGATACGACATCCATGCCGCGCCACATGCCTCCCTGGTCTCCAGCGGCGGCCCACGATATAACCCCAGCGACGACCTGCCGGCCAACCCGTCGCTGCGCCAGCGACTCTTCTTCTACTACAAGTGGTTTTTGCGCAATGTCTATCCATCCGTGAATGCGGCATACTATATCTCCATCCTGGCGTTTAACCTCGCCTATCTCTTCGACAACACAAAGTACTCCTCCCCATTCCTGTGGCTTATCGGCACGCGCATCCGCCGCCTCGGCGCCGCAGACCACCGAGCCATTGCCGCAGTTCTAGATCCCAAACCTGGCCCTAGCACCGGGCGATCTGGGCGACCCGGAAGAGGTCTGCTAGGCCTCCTTAGTCCCCAGAACCTTCATACTCAGCTCCTGGGCTCGCTGCGCTACTTCCTTCCTGCGTCGATCTTCGCCCTCAAGTTCCTAGAATGGTGGCATGCAAGTGACTTCTCTCGCCAGCTTGCTCGTAAGGCAACTGAAGTTCTTGATCTGCCCGCCCCCGTTGTGGCAGGCTTGACTTCTCCCGCGGAACGACGGAAATCGTCAATCCAAGACGAGAAAGAAAAGGCCAAGAAACAGGCCGAGCAGGAGAAGAAGAGTGGTGCCGGTGATCTTAAACCAGCACTCAAGTCTCCTCGTCGCCACCAACCCCCCATCTCCGCGACTTCCTACCTTCCCATTTACACCGTGTCTTTGCCTCCGGCTGACCCCTCAAGCGCCAACACTTGCCCTGTTTGTATGGGTGCACTCGTCAATCCGACTGCTTGCCAGACGGGGTATGTGTTCTGTTATGTGTGCATTTTCCACTGGCTGAATGGTGAGCACCAGCGCCAACTGGATTTCATGGCCGGTGAGGGTGCCGGCGCACCATGGGAAGAGGAGATCACAGGTGATGATGATGAGACGAAAAAGAATTCTAGTGGCGAAGACTCTGAAGAAGGCCCTCGCAAACGATCTGGTAAATGGGAGAGTGGCAAGGGCAGGTGTCCTGTCACAGGGAGGAGAGTGCTTGGAGGCACCGATGGATTGAGGAGGGTGTTGGTTTGATATAGGGCTACATCCCAATTTTTCGATCTATTAATTGTTAACCGCACATTGTATAGTAGAATGTGTTCAGAATTCAATGACAATTCAGCCTTGATTTTAAGGCTACTGGATTATGCCAACGCTAAGCCTGGTGACCAGTAGATTTCTATGCCCTAGGAGGTCTCTGAAAGGCTCTCGGGAATAACTTCCGAGTAATCGAGATCGGCCCGTTTTGGCCAACCTTCTTCAGCTCTGGGAAACATTTGTATCGTCATGGACTCATGGTAGATTACACTTTTCCGCAGGGGAACAAGCGGTTCCTACATCCACTCTTTTCCATACTCTTTATACTAAAAGTGCCCTTGGATCCAGGTGAAGTATATACCTTACGGCCCTTTTGGATCTGATTAACCATTGGATATAGTGATTAACCAATAATATTATATTTCTGCGGATTCCCTTTGCTCACGTAGATAGTACATCATTTCATGTATAGCAAGGTATTGGTAGTGAACCAGTAAATGAACATATATTCCTTTTCATCTTACCTGTTACTATCATACTATAACTCCAGTCATTCAACATGGACGACAAATATTATACCTTGGCAGAAGGTGCAACCTTAGATTTTGATTTTTGCTTATGTCTGACTATTTGTAGGCTGTCCTTTTGCAAGCAACAGAACGGTTGTTACGATGCGCGATAGACAGGGCGGCGGACTCGGGTTGCTTCAAGATACTCAGCTGATTGAGACCTTAGCTCATTTCTCTCGCGAGAGAATTCCGGAGCGGTAAGTGTCTTGCCCAGTTGAATTACTTTGAGGTCCATATACTGACATTGGAATCCTGAATAGAGTCGTTCATGCCAAAGCTGTTGGGTAAGGTATTAAAGCTCCTAAAGGTTTCGCCAGTTGACAGTATGTAGATATGGCGAGTTCGAAGCTACCCGCGATTGCTCCGACTTTACCTGCGCCAGCTTTCTCAACAGGACCGGAAAGAAAACATCGGTGCTTCAGCGTGTGTCGACAGTCGGGGCCGAGTCTGGATCTGCTGATACCACTCGCGATGTGCATGGATGGTCAATGAAACTCTACACAGACGAGGGAAACCTCGACTGGGTTTTCAACAACACGGTATGTTTGATAACGTGGTCATGCTGTTGGTGTTTCCTAACGCTGATTGCTACATACCTCAGCCTGTCTTTTTCATTCGTGACCCGATCAAATTTCCGTCAATGAACCGATCCCACAAGCGTCACCCTCAAACCCATCTTCCTGACGCAAATATGGTAAGTCATCCTGCTTTAGACCTGTGTGCAGATCTAATGAGAGTTGCAGTTCTGGGAGTATGTGTCTTTCTCGAACTCCAGTGAACAATATCCTAATCTAGTTTTAGTTTCCACGTCGGTAACCCTGAAGGCATACACCAACTTATGATCCTGTTCAGCGACAGAGGTACTCCAAAATCGGTTCGCTACATGAATTCATACAGTGGGAATACATACAAGTTCACCAAAACGGTAAGAGGTGATGAGTACCATATACCAAAGCTTTCTCTCAAGGTTATGACTAGGATGGCTCGTTTAAATATGCCAAAATCCACGTTAAAACGCAGCAAGGAATACAAAATTTTACCAGTGAAGAAGCTACCAAGATCGTCGGAGAGAACCCTGACTATATGATTCAGGACATGGTTGAGGCCATCGAGAGAGGCGACTATCCTGTTTGGAATGTCTACGTCCAGCTGATGAGCCCTGAACAGGCCGAGAAATACGAAACAAATATCTTCGATATGACCAAGGTTTAGTCGCACAAGGATTTCCCTCTGCAGCAGATTGGTCGTCTCACTATGAACCGCATTGTAAGTCTTCGTAACCTGTCATTATCCAGTTGTAATGGCTAAAATCGAACAGCCGCGAAACTATTTCGCAGATATTGAACAAGCTGCGTTTTCGCCATCGACGATGGTTCCGGGATTCGCTGCGTCGGCCGATCCAGGTAGGTCGATAGAGCCCACTCTTTCTCCTAGGATTCCTCAAGGCTAAATTGTGGCCAAGTGCTACAAGCACGACTCTTCGCATACCCTGACGCGGCCCGCTACCGACTCGGGGTAAATTACCAGCAACTCCCAACCAACGCTGCCAAGGCCCAAGTCTACTCTCCTTTCCAGAGGGACGGAAAGATGCGATTGGATGACAACTATGGCGGGGACCCTAGCTATGTTGGCTCCTCAATCAAGCCCACTAGGTTCTACCAAGACGTGAAAGGGTCAAAACTTAGAGCATTGTTCTTACACACCGATCATGAAAAATGGGTGGGAGAGGTTTTGGCCTACACTAGCGAGATTACTGACGCAGACTTTGTCCAACCTGCAGCGTTGTGGGAGATTATTGGCCGGGAGCCTGGTCACCAGGATAGGCTTATTGACAATCTTGTATCCAGCGTTAAGGGTGTTAAGTACACCGAATTGCGCAAGGCTGTCTATAGTACGTACCCCATACTGCTGCTACCTTCGAGGAATGCATCCACTGCACTGCAAGTCTAACACTAAATATAGGCCTTTTTAGTCGTGTCAACAAGGACCTCGGGTTGAGGTTGCAAGAACGAACCGAAGCAGCGCTCAAGGCCGCGTGTGATCGACCTGTCTAGAGTATTTCTGCTGTGCTTCTATGGGCCTAGGAATAAGTAAAGAATTGAGAGCCAAAATAGGAAGAAAGACTAGACAAAGGTAATGATATCTGTATGTTAAAATATCTCAAAAGAGTGATCTAAGCTGTGTTATATATAGTATCTCAATGCAACTGATATACAAAGCCCTAAATGCAATTATGACCAATTGGCCGCTATTTACGGCGACGTCATGTGTGGGGACCTCCTCTTTGAACTTCATAACATCGCCTTTGACCTGAAATCACCTGGATATGCAGCTTTTCAGACTGCATCTTGAGCAAATTTGAGCATCTTGAGCTATGGAGAGCTTTGATGATGCTTCCCTCATCGGACTAGTGTCCCAGGAAGTACCTTTTCACGATGAACATCTCCCCGGCCCTTCAGATCCGAATTTGGCGAAACAAGACACAGCGGGACCAACTTCGACCCAAACGACGAGCTCTTCACGAATAGAACGTGCCAATGATGCTGGAATAATAGATGATGGCCCAGTCGTGTCAGAATTCCCGTTGCCTTACACACCGGCTGGAGCTCGGATTGAGGAGGAAGAGGAAGGGGATGGGGAAGATGAGGAGCCACAGGTAGCGACTTCTTTTGAGCGAGAGGCTTCGCCGACTTTTGCGCAGAAACACCGATCAGCTTCCGACAACTCGGAGGACGAGGGGATCAACCGCATGCACAAATTTACGCTCTACGAAACCGCGACGCGATTCTATATGGTCGGGATTAATCTTGCGGAGACCCGTTTTCGGATTCTGAAAATTGACCGGACATCAGACTCTGGCGAGTTGAGTATTATCGAGGATGATATGGTATACAACAAAAGAGAGATGGTTCAGTTGCTGGATGCAATCGACGACGGCAACAAGAGCTCTGGCGGGTTGAATCAGAAGTGCAGTGCATGGGCATTGCTTGGCTTCATCCGATTTACGGGTGCATACTATATGCTACTTGTTACCAAGAGGAGCCAGGTTGCCATGCTGGGTGGTCACAATATCTATCAGATCGACGAAACTGACCTGATTCCATTGACCACCTCAGAACCTTCACATCTCAAGGCCGAGAAGCATTCAGAGGAGGCACGATATATTGCGATATTGAACAATCTTGACTTGTCGCGCTCTTTTTATTTCAGCTATTCCTACGACATCACTCACACACTCCAGCATAATATTTGTCGGGATCGCAAGACCCATCAGGATGGCCACCCGCAACCATTTTCGCATGATTACCATTCCATGTTCATCTGGAACCATCATATCCTTTCCCCAGCCGCTGAGGCCCTCAAAAATCCCTACGAATGGTGTTTACCTATTATTCATGGATATATAGACCAGTCAAAGATGAGTGTCTATGGACGAATGGTCTACATCACAATCATCGCCCGTCGATCCCGATTCTTCGCTGGAGCGCGGTTTCTCAAGCGAGGTGCAAACGACCTGGGATACGTGGCCAATGACGTAGAGACTGAACAGATTGTATGTGAACAGACAACAACGTCATTCCATTCCGCTGGTCCAAGACTCCATGCAAACCCTCATTACACTTCATATGTCCAACACCGTGGGAGCATTCCTCTCCATTGGACTCAAGATAACACAGGGGTGACACCGAAACCGGATATTGAGCTTAATCTTGTGGATCCATTTTACTCGGCTGCGGCGTTGCATTTCGACGACCTATTTCGAAGATATGGCGCTCCAGTCTATGTTCTGAACCTGGTCAAGTCTCGCGAACGAACCCCGAGAGAGTCAATACTTCTTAAAGAGTTCACCAACGCTGTGACATACTTGAACCAGTTTCTTCCTGAGGACAAAAAGCTCATATACGAGGCCTGGGATATGAGTCGTGCTGCAAAAAGCCGGGATCAGGATGTCATTGAGACATTAGAAGACATTGCAGGTGACATCATTCCCAAAATCGGATTTTTCAAGAACGGAGATGATGCGGAATCCGGCTTGCAGCTCCAGAATGGTGTCGCGAGAACTAACTGCATTGATTGCCTTGACCGGACAAATGCTGCACAGTTTGTCATTGGCAAGAGGGCACTTGGTTATCAGCTCCATGCCCTTGGTGTCATAGATGACACCACAGTGGAGTATGATACCGATGCTGTTAACCTCTTCACGAACATGTGGCATGACCATGGAGATACTATCGCCATTCAGTACGGCGGATCGCACCTGGTGAACACCATGGCTACCTACCGCAAGATCAATCAATGGACTAGTCACTCGCGCGATATGGTGGAAAGCTTCAAGCGGTATTACAACAACTCTTTCCTTGATGCTCAGCGTCAAGAGGCATACAATCTGTTTCTTGGAAACTACATTTTTGCGCAGGGTACACCAATGCTTTGGGATCTTCCGAACGACTACTATCTCCATCATACCGATCCTAAATTCCACTTCGACAGAAAGAAACCCAGCTACATATCCTGGTACACACCGGAAAATCTCAAGGCTAGGGAATTCCCACCCCTCCCATTTCATCCTAAAGCGCCACTGTCACATTTCGATGACTTCTGGCTGGAATATTACAGACCACTCGCTCTCTCTTCACTATCCAAAGTCTTCTCCTGGAAAATGAATTCCACGTCCCGCTATCTACCCCCAGTCCGCCCAGGACACCCAGTCCCGGATCTCAGTCCCTTTGTCCCCCGTATCCCTCCAGAGCAAATCCAACGCGAACGCCTACCACAGCGCAGCGTCAAGATCCAAGAGCCATCCATCAGCCGCAGTCGCGCCTCATCAAGCACGATGCCGCCACCCGAAGTCCCACAGACATGGGTCCATCAACCACCCTCATCCGAGAAACAGCCCCCTCTCGTGGGCATCATCAAAGATCCAGCTTTCAAAATTCCCCATCCATCCCGCATCCCACCCATCGACCCTCCAAACGCAGACTCCACCCCTAGCAAAGCGGAGGTCGCCCAGTGGACCCTCGGCCAGCTAGTCAGCGACTCGCTGAGTCCCTCTGTCACCAGTGCTGAGGCAGAAGAATATGAGCGGTACATCAACCATCCTCTGAAAGTCCCGCTTGTCGTGACATCCGAAGATGAAATGACGGCTTCATCGCTGCAGGATCACGGCTACAATCTCGATCTTCTGGAGTACGCGAATAAGTGCAATGTTGAGGAATCTGCCCTTGAAGCGAGGGCTGGGAACAACATGCTTGCTTATGCTGAGTTCTTGGACGTCTCTGAAGACGGTCTGACTGTCGTCGGTGAGGACTATGAGAAGAAAAGGTATAAACGATACCGCCAGTGGTTGCGCGGGAAGAGTCTTTTCAAGCAGCGAGTCGATCCATGATGCTATAAACTCCATCTTTGTTTTTTCATTTTTTTTACAGCAAATTGATACCCTCATTACGCAGTGTTTCCATATATGTTCCCTTCACATCCATGCCAGCTTTGAATTATTCATCCCACTAGGCCAAATCTCTGACTTGGCTACATATATCATTTTACCGAGTATCGGTTTTTTTTTTGTACTTCTCATACTACTATTTATTGGTACTATTGATAAAGTGCCATTCTCATATGAGAACCCGATATTTCCTCTAAATAACCTCTTAGACATTCATAGATTGCTAAATATCAAAGAGACCACTTAGCTCTGCATCCGCATCAACAAGCTCCTGGAACTCCTTCTCCACATTTTCCTTCACCTGCATCTGTTCTGGCTCTGCGACATCCGCAATAGCAACCGGATTCAGCAAAACAAGCTTCAAAACTCGAAGCGTAGTTTGCAACTCGCGCTTCAACTTAGCCAACTCAGCGGAATCCTTGCTATCCTCGGCAATATGGAGCCAGCATGAACTCAACCCACTCAAGATCTCACCGCGCCAGCGCCAGATCCGTGGGTGTGCGTTCTTGATCACCGCCTGTGTGGCAGTAGCCGCAGCTAACAGGAGTGGAGGATGTGCTGTTCCGAAGGGGTTTGATAATGTGGTGTAGAGGACTGGGATGAGTTCTTGGAGGTACTTTGTAGTGTGGATCCCCAGCTCGTTGATGACGATTGTTATCTTTTCTAGGAGAAATGTTGAGAGACGGGGGTGTGGGAAGGATGCGGTTGAACCTGCGGCTGGAGTGCCGGAGCTGACGTGGTGGAAGGAGGAGATGAGGTTTGATCGGAGGATTTTGGCGAGGCGGGTGGTGTAGGCTTCTTTATCCTTTTCGGATTGGGCGGGACCCTTGTAGGCGGTTTTGAGGGTGGAAAGGAGGGCTGGGTATGCTTCTCCTAGTATGTCGAGGGATCTATCCTCGGGTGTGATGGATGGTAGGGATAGAAGACACGGCGTGACGGCGTCTTCGAAGACGGAGGTGAGGTTTGTTCGTCTGAGAATGTCCGAGTCGCTTTTTTGGATTGGTTGTAGTAACTGAGTAAGTAGGGCACAGCCTTTTGTTTTGAATGGGAGGTTGTTGTCGTCAACCATTGCTAGGATAGTGGGCACGAAAAGCTGGAAGTGTGCTTCGAAGTGTGTCTTGTCCTCGGGTTGGTACTGGGAAAGGATCCATGACAGCACAGCTGCGACGTAGACACCGGTGGTCTTCCAAGGCTTTGCGGGTGGTTCTAGGTCAAAGCGAGGTAGAGCTTGTGGATGGAAGTTCTTGCGGCCAGCACTGGTGATGGCGGGATTTTTTGTCTTTGCAAAAAGTGGCCTAATCCTGTCCCTGAGGATGAAGTCGATAGCAGGCCAGAAGGTATTGGCACGACGAGTGTCCTGAACCCAAACGCTCATGAGCATCGATGCCGCATTGTAGCTCTCTGATGTGGCCCATGGGTTTTGCTCATTGGCGAAACATGCCCCCGCGAGAAGGATGTCTGCCGCATTGTCTGGCTTGCCATTTGGCAGCCCTGCTAGGGGCTTGTTTAGAACCAGAAGCAGCTCTAGAGCCAGCTCAGATCTAAACCGACTTTCATTCTGAGCTTTGATAATATCTGGATGGCAGGATTAGCAAAAAGTTTTTCCATGCTGATAAAAGAATTTACCGTCTGAAATCTCGGCAGTCTCATCAAAATCAACGGCAAAATCCGATGAAGGTAAAGCTGTAGCACTGGCCCATTCGAACAAATTGTTCACAGCTTTGGCCTCTGCTGGTTTCAAAGGTCGCGGGCCTTGATCATTTGGCAGCATGCCATCCCAGTAGTCGATGTAACTGGTTACAGTAACGAGACTCTCACAGATCTAGGAAATATTAGTACATTATCTTGATTAATTTGATAAAAAAAAACATACATTCGAATGCGTTGAGTGATCATAAGAAGAAACATCTTGCCATAATTGAGCCAAGTCACTTTTGGACGCAGCTGCAACGGCGGGGAAGAAACCGATTGGCATTTTGCCAGGACTCTGCACGAGAGCCTCACGGGCTTCTTTTCGTAATTTATCCATTGCTTTAACGATTTACAATAAATTGGAGAAAAGAAGTTGTAAATGTTAAGTTGTTGAAGGGGCGCGTTGTTATTTCATTTGTCATCGGATCTTCACGTTACTTTAATTCTGCTCGTCGACCCGCGATCTCTTCTAGCACCTTTTCCTTCTCGGTAATATCAGGATGAAGAAGTTGCCATTCCATGGCCATATTAACTGCCTTGGACATCCAAGGTCCCTTTTTGGCCCCTAGACTCTTCATAATTTCATCGCCGTTTACGATGGGCTTGAGCTCACAAACATCCTCCAGGTCGCTTTCTACAATGTACGCAAGGAACTGATCATATTCACGGATGACTACACATTGTGAGTATTGGAATGTTTTAATTAAGGGATGGGTCTTACCTTCTGCGAAGTCACGGAACGCCATAGCTTCTTGCATGATAGCCAGGAGAATGCAAAGTTTCCAGTCCTTATTCCATGACCGGATTTGCAACCCAACGCGCTGTCGAATTTCCGCTGGTGTGCCACTCATTTCCTTGGCGAGAAGTGCATTTTTGGTCGCAATTGTTTCTTTGTAATGCAGAGCAGCAGCCCGAATTGCATTGAGGGTCTTGTTGTCAGTTCGAAGGCTATCTCTCCCAACTTCAACAGCTCGCGGGGGCAAGGGTTTGGATCCTTTCCCGCTACGACCGGAAATCGAAGTCCAGGGAGCAAAAGTTGCAATAATCCAGGCGTAGTATATGGTGGTTTCGTCACGGAATAGGATATCACGAACGCGCTTAGTGACTGCCTGAACCTCTTCGCTGTCACCAGCCTCTGGGTGTAGTAATCGTGCCATAGTATTGTAGGCAAGGGGCCATGTCGATGTATCAGCCTTGACATCGTCCTGATGATTAGCCAAGATAGTGGGGAACAGTTGGAGCCGATCGATGAGCTCCAATGCACCACGAGGGTCGGGGCCTAAGATAGGTATGACTTGTCAGAATTGTAAAAGAACTGGGTAAGTGCAATGACTTACCGCGCAACATCTTTTCCAGCTCGGTTCCCACTCGCTCTTTACTGATTTTGAGCTTCAATGCCTCGCGGATATCTTCAATCTTCATAGCGGCTTCAGTTTCGGGGTCGATTTGGTACCCCAGTCTGCTCGCAAAGCGGATCAATCGAAGCACCCGGAGTGGGTCATCTTTGAAGGTTTGGTATGGCTCCATTGGGCATCGAATAGTCTTCTTTCTCATGTCCTCTAGTCCCCTCTCAGTGAGATCCTCCAGCCGTGAGTCATTAAGATTGTAGAAAAGCGCATTGATAGTCGCATCGCGTCTCAGAGCGTCTTCGACAGCGGTGCCGAACTCCATCTGAGGATTTCGACTGTCATCTGTGTATGTTTCCTTTCGTAGATTGACCAAATCAATATCCAGGCCGAAGATCTTGGTTGTGACGGTCTCGAGGTGCTTTGATTTCTCCGGGTTAGCCTCGATTTTGTGGAGGCTCACAATGGCGTCGTTCATTTCTCCATTCGGAAGGCTTTTCTTGTATATTTCAAGGTGCTCCGGAACATCGAGGTAGTCTTTCAGGGCCATACCGAACTGGTATCCCGTCATGTTGCTGATGCCCACGTCGATATCATGGCTTTCGACTCCGAGCAATTTGTCCCTGACCCACCCACCTGTGAAGCGCAAGACAGTCCCGGAGGGATCTGCCAGAGTGACGCCTCCTGCGGCGGTTTTTTTCTCGGTGATGTATTGTGCGACATCGAGGAGTAGGGTTCGTAGGGTGTTCTCAAGCGGAGTGAGCTCGATGGTAGGCATCGCGGTGCTCATGGTTGTATATGAGCCTTCCCGCGTCGGGGAGGAAATGCGTCGCCTCTTGCTGACTCGTTCTGAGAAGTCCGGGTCAGATTCGGGGCTGCGCATGGACGTGCGACGAGGTACTGCAGAGTAGGCTCGGAGGGGTAGATGTTGAAACGGGTGTGTTTGACCAGCTCTTCTCGCTAGAGTGCGGGCAAGTGGAGCTTTAGCTGAAGGGAGACCAGAAGCCTTAAATAAATACACGAAAGGGCGCAACTTCATTGAACAAAGCTAAGTCAGATGCTCTGAGAAAATGAGTCAAGTTTGATTGTCGATAAGCATAACCCTCACGTGGTTTGCATCATCACTTGGAGATCAGCCTCTACCTGAGAGTTCTCTCTGTATTGCATTCATAATTGGCATCATCAGTCTCCTTAAAAGGATTTAGTGCCCAACCTATCAATAGGCTCTGTCGCTCTATTTCGTTGTCGCGTCAGTGCTTATCGGCCCGAATCCGTCGACTTGGCTTTCTTCCCCAACAACACCTCCACGAAGCCGTCTACATCCCACTCGTTCTATTACACCTTGTTTGACCTCATCTACCAGTCGATGGGGCCTGTCGATCAACTACACTCGCTTTAAATCTGCACAAAGCAGCAGGTGTCCGCCCATGACATCGCCCGGAGATGCTGCTCCGGTCAAACCTCCGCCGTCCTTCTCCCCCGGCGTTGCGCGAGTCGCATCCACATCACCATCACGATACCCAGGGGAGCATGAAACAACTCAATCTTTAGATGCCGAACTAGCAGACTCCCAAACAGTCTCATCGCCGACCCCTCTCTCAGCCACGATCGCCGACTTACCAATACGGTCTGGCTCGTCGCACTCACGCTCTGGGAGATCCTCCACCCCACAATTAGCAAGGTCATCAATTGGGTCACCATTTGATGGAAGGGCTGATGGCTCGGAAGATATAAGAACGTCAATTATCCGGTCATTCTCACCCACGATCGCAGTTCATGCCTCCGAGGATACCGACGATTTGGTGCGGAGTAAGGGGTTTAAGGGGGGATTTTGGGAGCTGGTCCGGCCCTTCGGAGAAACAGTTTCCGGAAAGGTGGTGATACGGGACAGTATAGGGTCGAGTCGTGCCTGGGAGGACTATGGTGTGCGCTTTGCCGATTTCAAAGGGATCGGCAGGGCTCCGCCTAGTCGAGACTCTGGGCCCCTGGTGCAGATGGAAGAAGTGTTGACCAAGCAGTTAGAATCCTCAAATGGCCTGCTTGGTGCATCTGTACGGACAAAGGATGTTTTGGGATTCCCTGCAACAACCCCATTATGCAAGTCGTTTTTGCAACAGGTGCTGTGTTCGGCACCTACAGCACCCCACGAGACATTTGGCCACCCAGTAGCCAATGTAATAGCCATCAGCTCGCGCAACCCGACTCCGTTGGAGACTCTCAGGCAGCTCTATGCCGATGGTACCACTGGGTCCCAACAGCTACCCGAATGGGTCAACCAGGAGTATCTTCGGTATTACGTTTTAGTCCATGACGAAGAGCGAGACGATATTACGGAATCTACCAAGCTTTATGATCAGATGAAGCGCCACTTTGGGCTACACTGCCATCTTTTAAGACTTCGGAGCAGCCAGTGTGTGGTGACAGACGATGATAGCATGCAAGTTCCCCGGTGCGAATGGCTTTCACCGTCAGAGCATCTGTCGGGAGCAGGCGAAGCAGGCAAGTTTTCGCTGCCACATATTCAAACGTAAGCTAACAGTTAACTGTTAATCAGAAGCCTTGGTTGACCTCGGCACTGATGGCACACCATATCTCTTTGACTCCGATGCTACTGCGATTAGGGCATTCATTCGAGAACTCGTGGTGCAGTCCGTCATTCCATTCATGGAAAATAAAGTAGCTGTCTGGAACGACCAGGTTGCATCTCGGAGGCGTGGCATTAGTGGCAGATTTATGTCGATGTCTCGGCGCTGGGCTGGCTTCGGTTCAAGCTCGCGTTCAAGTATTGGAGGCTCGTCCGGTGGCAACAGCGGGAATTACGATTCGGCACATCATTCTTATAGTCCAGACTCCCAGGAGGCTATCTTGCGGAAGATGGCGGATTTCGCATTCATGCTCCGCGATTGGAAGCTAGCTACGTCCACATATGACATGATTCGATCGGATTTTGGCAATGACAAAGCCTGGAAGTACCATGCTGGTGCCCACGAGATGTGCGCTGTTAGCATGCTTCTAAATCCCTTGGCAACTTCAGCCAAAATCAAGCTTGAAAGCGTCGACCAAATGTTCGAGACTGCTTGCTACTCCTATCTCACACGCTGTTCAGATGCGCCACACGCATTGCGTTGTTTATCCCTAGCGGTTGAACTTCTCAAGTCTCGTGGAGGGTCAGCCACTGAGAGCGCAGCCAAATGGGCCATGCGGGTCATGGACTTTGGTCTTGTGGGCTCATTGGGTCAGATTCTATACACCGAAAGGGTAGCAGCTTGCTATGCCTCAAAGACACCAATCGGAGCAGCAAAGTGGGGTGGACGTCGCCGAAAAGCTGGCATGTGGAGCATGCTTGCTGCCGATCAATGGCTCAAAGCTGGGCAACCAACCCTAGCTTCAGCCTGTTTGGAAGAAGCCGAGCGTCTCTATGCTGACGTGCTGCAAGCCGATGGGGTGTTCCCCATGCCTGAGATGCAGAGCTTCGTTGATAAATTGCGCCATGCCGTTAAAGTTGAATATCTTGAATCGAGGGGATTTGATGCCCGAGATGAACCGGCTAGCGAGGATCCATTGGGCACCGAGGAGACAAGCGAGAAGCTCGACATGCGCCATCATCGCCGGTCTTTGATTGGGCTCCCTGTGCAGCTGGATGCTGGAGCTCTCAACTCGACTCAGGGGTCTCTGGACCCCCAGAGTCCACCAAGTGATGACTTTGAACGAGCTTAGACTCATTATGGCCCTAATATCTCATCATAGCATACATATAACCATTAGAATACAATCCTGTTCAAACAAGAATTTAGTCCTCTCATCTCGTCTCTTCTCCCTGGCAACTGACTTTGGCTGTCAACTCGGAATAGAGGTCTATATGTAATATTGCTTCGCGCGCAAATACCTTTGAGTAGTATTAGAGAGCATATGTACTTAAGTTAGGGCATGAAGTCCCTCATGGACCTGCTACATTCGGACACGTCACGTGGAGCTTATCGATAAAGCTGTCAACGAAGCCGCAGATGACCCCATGTGCTTTGTCTGCGAAGTCCATTATTAAGAATACAACTTGACCTATTGTTTGCTTAGAGCGAAGCATATCATTTTCCCTCAGCATACCCTTGCATGATGAGCGAACTACTGAAATATATCCTCACTCAGGAGGAAGCATTCCGAAGGTAAAGACTCGAGTCCTAAGATAACTAAAATAAAGAAAGAATATCACGCTAACCCTGAACGCCATGTCCTAGAAACCGTTTACCCTCACTCTACTCTGACTTCACGCCCCAGAAGAAGACAAACCCCGATGGCTATGCTGTTAATGTCGCCGCATGGGAGCAAGCACTCAACCGAGCCGCAAAGCGCGGCTATACCTCCTCACGCGGTGTGCGCGCACGTTCCGGCTCGACTATATCAGCCAAGAGCGGGACAGCACCTGCGAAACGGAAGAAGACGGATCACCTGATCTTGCGAACAGATGAGTCGCTACTCCGGGATTTAGAGAGTCCGGAGTGGGGGAGACCTGTAGCTTTGGGCACTGTATTTGTGGGTCTTCATGTTCTTGTATATGGGAGAGGTGTTAAGCTAACCAATGGTGATTATTACAGGACGAGGCAGTGCGCAAGAATTCAATGATTCCAATGCCAGTTTACAAGACTACTGCTGGACTTTTGCAAAAGAAGAGTCAGTGGAAGCTAATTGATCCAGGTGTTCTGAGTCCTTGGAATGTTATGAGCTGGGGAGCTCGGCAGCTTAAAGGCTTTGTCGTAGGTTCCGAGAGTGATTCGGCACCCAGGCTGCAGGTGCAGGAGTTGGTCTTAGTAGAGAACCTACAGGAAGCGGCAGAACGAGCAGTTAAGAAAGCCACAGGCAGCAACTCATCTAAGCTTGACCTTATCTACTCTCGGGAAAGCTTTGTTGAAGAGTTTGCCGGTATACTGAACGATGCTACGGAATTATCAGATGCGGATTTTGATGTCTTGTTGCTTTATTTGTCCCGTGATAGCGGGGCTATTGCGTATGATGGCAAGGTAAGCTGGACTATATACAGATGACCATGACCCAGATACTGACTTGATTGATAACTAGACAATCAAGTTCAAATCCGCAGGTGAGCCGTCCGAGGTCACCCAACAGGATACAACGATTGCATCCATCAAGACGTTGGTTTCGACTATGTCGAAACAGGTCACGAGCCTGGAAACCAAGATCGCCGAATTAAATGCGTCTGCAAAGACGGCCTTGGCGAACAAAAATCGTATCTCAGCGCTGTCCGCCGTGCGTTCCAAGAAACTGGCTGAACACAACCTCCAGCAAAGGTTTAACACCCTCATGCAGCTGGAGGAGGTCTATTCAAAGATCGAGCAAGCTGCCGGCCAGGTGGAAATAGTGCAGGTCATGCAGGCAAGCACTGGTGTGCTTCGCGGTCTGCATACTCAGATTGGCGGTGCCGAGAGGGTTGAGGACATCGTTGAAGAATTGCGGGAAGAGATGACCAAGGTGGATGAGGTCGGAAGCATCATGAACGAGGCCGGCCCAGTTATTGATGAGGGAGAGATTGATGATGAGCTTGCGGAGATGGAGAAGAGCGACAGAGAGGCGAGAGAGAAGGAGGAGGCAGCAGTCACCGAGAGCAGGCTTGCCGAACTGGACAGTATCAAGCAAGCCTCTGATGAGGCCGCTCGCAAAGCACGTGCGACTGAAGATGCCGACTCTGCGCTGGCAGATAACATTATTGACAGGCTCTCTAACATGTCTGTCGAGGACCGCCCGATGCAAGCAAACTGAGACATTCCGAATTGCGGAAGAAATATTTGCCCTGCGTGAAAGAACAATTTGCTCTTCTGTGTTTCTCTATTCGAGTCCAATGTGGCTTGTTTTGAGATCACCCGGATAGGTCAACGACATGACTGGCGTCGGTTTCTGGATTGAACTCAACGCGTGCACCATTGACCGGTAATTGCGTACCCTGCTGTACTTCTCTCTGCTCAGATGACGAAGGGGGATCTTCAGGGATATTCGATCGTGTTTTGGTCTCACTCTTCTTACGGGCATTTGCGATCAAACGCCTGAAATCGTCATCATGGTTATTTGACCACTCATTGGCATCAAAGTCCTTGCGCATCACATTATTGGAAGTGGTGAATGGTGACGGCGCTGTCGCATGCCCACCCTGTGTACGTTCCCAGATTTCCAGTTCCTGGAGCAATATCCGCTTGGACTTGGGGTATTTGGAGTCGCAATTTGCATTCCACAAGTTCATCCACTCCGTATGACGTCTCTGCAACAGCTGTTTCTGACCCCAGTCCGGGATTCCCAGATCTCGGAGCTTCTTCCGCAACGAGTTATCCTTCAATATGGAGTAATTTATAGCAGGAAGCCGCTCGGGCTGTTTGCTGGGGAGGGTGAGGCTTTGTCTGGATATGCCTTTTAATGACCTGTTATTGTTGTCTAATTAGCGCCATTTTCTTGACTTATGCAATAGAATTTAAATACCCGAAAGATGCTGGCTTCGTAAAGGTTTTCTTAGGCGCTTCTTCTTCCTGCTGGTGCACGTTTAGGTGTGGAAATACTGCCTCTTCTTTCATTTTACGAAAGCATATTGGGCAAGCAACCAACCCATCTTCTGCGAGGCGATTAGACGGGTCTGGTATCCGTGTGATGAGTGTCATACCGGGCATATATTCTTCATCATCCTGACTATCCTCGATGACCTCGTGCACAGTCTGAGGAACAATTCGCTCTTCTGCCGAGCTATTTATGGATCTTTGAGAGCGAGTCCGTCTGCCCTGCGAACTGGCTTCTGGGACCTGTAGCTCCTCCTCTTCCACCTGCTTGACCTTCCGCTTCTTCTGGGCCGGTCTCTCTATCACTTCCTCTTTCCCAGAGAGACGCGCATTTTCCCTCCTCGCAAGATCAAGTACACTGGGTCGCGCCAATTTGAACGCGTCGACGAGTTCCTGCACTGCCCAATTGCGACGTAGTTTGAGCTCTTGATCGGAGCTCCGACACGCCGGACACTTGCCTTCGGCGCTTAGGCAACGGCGAATACATAGCGAGCAGAATGTATGACTGCAGGAAGTAATAACGGGGTTATCGAAGAAGTCTTTGCAGACCTGACATCGTAATGAGGACTCGAACGGCGCAAGTAGTGAAAGTGGCGTTTCCAACCAATCGGTGGAGTCGGGGAGCTCGAATGGCTGATCCATTAAATCGATACCTAAACCCCCGAGGAGCTCTTGTCTGTAGAGATTCCAACCGGACTTGTCCGGCGACAGCAAATGAAAGAGGATAATAATGTGAGTGGAGAGCCTGAGCAAGAGACCGCAAATGCCAAGACCCGCTGACTGATACGCGTTAAGTGGTTGAGCACGCGTCGGAGCAACTTCCAAGCACTTCAACAGCAACCATGGACTCGAAGTTGTATCTTGCTGAGAATGTGCTCAATGAGCGGCGCCCTGTATGGTTTTTTCATTTTCTTCAGATAACCAGGAGCTTATGAGAATTAGGTAACATATCGCTTATTGAGCCGCGCGCTCAAAGTGAACGCCAACCGAGCCAAACAGTACGCTTTGTGTTCGCAACAATATAAATTGGAATTGCAACTGATACTGATACTCAATCACATAGCCTCCTCTTTGAATTCCACCGCAACGAAAACGCGAAGAAGCCACAGACCGTCCACGCAACATACGTCATCTCCGGTATTCAGAAAGCGCCCGAGCCGGCCCCTACAAACAGCCATGCGGACGACGAAGATGATATTATGGACAGCAGCCCATACTTATCTAGCTCAATGCCGAATCAAGATTTAGCCTCGGACTCAATCCGCACTACCTCCATCGTGTTAGCACGCGAGGAAGATTTGGAAGGTATGCAGATTCATGGATCTCGTTGATAGACTGGTTACTGAATGAGTCGAGCAGATGCGAAGTCAACATTTCAGTCGATATCTACAATTCATGTCTACAGTCTTGAACCTACAGCTTTGCCGGATTTGAATGTGTTGGTTGATTCCAATCGGGAGATTGCGAGAACACATGGACAGGAAGATCCTTTGGAGTGTGGGAAGCAATGGGGTATGATCCAAAATCGGAATGTCAAGGTAGGTCGCTCATTACTTCGACTGGTCTATCGTGATCTAATGATTGTATCTTCTAGCGGAGAACTGGCGCACGTCCACCGCCACCTGCAGCTGCTCCAGCTGTGAAGGCACCGGCTGCCAAGCCGTCGAAGCCTACGATTGAGTCAACTGTGCCTGCTAAACGGCCGCTACAAAGGGAAGCATCCTCGAAGGAGGAAGCTACCAAGTCCGATGAACCGAAGTCTGAGCTATCCTCCGCTGCCAATTCTCAGGCATCCTCGAAGCCTTCGGGCAAAGCAGCGCCAGTCAAACAAAAAGGCAGTGGCAATCTTTTTAGCTCTTTCGCTAAGGCGAAGCCAAAGGCAAAGGTGTCAGCTCCTGCGGAACCGGTTCGTGCGAAACAACTCCTACTACACTTTCTCTTTTTGCCCTTTGCTGATATTGTTTTACTAACTTTGGCTACAGGCCGCACCAAGTGCAGAAGATGGTAAGTTAACCCCACTTGGCTTTTCCCAGGTGGTTTTTATACATTAGCTAACATTTCCTAGTTGTGCTTGATGATGCATCCGAAGAAGAGGCAGAAGAATTGTTCCCTGATAGTACCGATAAAGCAGCTACAGCAACCCGTGAAAACAGGAAAGAGCGCGAGGAAAGGCTCAAGAAGATGATGGATGATGATGATGACGACGAGGCTGACGGTATGCCCGGATTTTCAACTTTTATCATCAAGAATGATTTAAATAACATGGGACGCAGATGAAGAAATGCCCGATGCCGACGAGGAGCCACGGGAGCCCACACCTGTTGAGCAACTGCCACCATCCAAACCAGCCGAACTTAAAGAAGAAGTGACCGTGCAGGGTGGCCGGCGGCGAGGCAAACGGCAAGTCATGATGAAGAAGACGGTCAAGGACGAAGAAGGATACTTAGGTCCGTGCATCCAGCTAAGACCCATTCGTTTGGCGACATATACTAATGTGACGCAGTTACCCGGGAAGAGGCGACATGGGAGTCTTTCTCCGAGGATGAGCCAGTGCCCAAGAAGAAGCCTGCGGTTAATGTTTCCAAGGGAAAGGCTGGCAAAGCTGCAGGGCAGGGTAATATCATGTCTTTCTTTGGGAAGAAGTGATGTAGTATTATTGAGGTGTCATAATAAATTTCTAAAAGCTCAGATATCTCTAATACCAAAGCATTTCATGTCAAGTATATCGGCCTAAAAGGGAAATCTTGCGATGTCGATCTTCTCCGCATTTTATGTGCGGAGAAGAGTGTCATAGTGCCTTGACCGATGTCACCTCGATTTTGCGTACTTTTTATTCCTCCGAGGTAATTACCTCGAGGTTCCTATAGAGTGCTATATGGCTCAAGATATACTTGCGAACAGCCACGGAGAAATTGCATGCGTTCTGTGGAATGTATCCCTGTCCGGTTGGGATCGACATACATCCCCTCTTATTTACCCCGACCTTCTTCCCTGTAGTCCCTCACTTTCGTCCTACTTGAAATCTGCGCCATGACTCTACCTGCTGTGCTTGTAGTTTCTCTGCTGGGCCTCCAGGTCGGCGCCCTCCCGGAGAGAGATAACCCAGCCATCTTGCGACGGGCCTGTCCAGACTACACCTCCTATGCATCGACACCGCAGTGAGTGTCTATAATCCCATATATATGCGCCAAATATTCTAAATAATATAATATCATAGCGCTCCTTACAGTGGTGGTCCCTTGAACCTTCCCTTTCAGCGACCTGCGGAAGCATGTCGGACATTTTCATCCCCCGCCGTGGAAAAGGTCATTAACGATATGACCTCGCGGCTTGTCGATAAAGATCTGGCTCAGCTATTCCGAAATGCATTTCCGAATACCCTAGATACTACAATTCGGTGGCATACGAATGGATCAACGTCATCCGGCACCAACGTCAAGCGGGACGGCGCGCAATGGAGTGGAGTGCAGACCTTCATCGTGACAGGCGATATCAACGCCGAGTGGCTGCGTGACTCAACAAACCAGCTCACAAACTACCAGACACTGGCTGCTAAAGACAAGCGTCTGTACTCGCTCATCCTAGGTGCTATCAACACCCAGTCCGAGTTCGTCATTCAGTCGCCCTATTGCAATGCTTTCCAGCCACCGGCTCTCAGCGGTATCAAGCCGGAGGCCAGCAGCCAAAAAGATACTGTGCATCCTGCCTATGACGAGTCTTTTGTATTTGAGTGCAAGTATGAACTTGACTCTCTGGCTCATTTCCTACAGCTAGGAACCGAGTTCCATGAGAATACTGGTTCAACTGAGTTCTTGACAGATCGATGGTACAAAGCGCTGAACACTGTGCTGAAGGTCGTCGATGCACAATCTCAGCCCACATTCAATGCGCAGGGCCAGTTCATCAAAAACCAGTACACGTTCGAGCGACAAACTACCATTGGCACTGAGACCCTCAGCCTAGCTGGTGTAGGCAACCCGCTAAATGGCGAGACCGGCCTGATTCGCAGCGCATTCCGACCTAGCGATGATGCTACGATTCTAGGTTTCTTCATTCCACCTAACGCTATGATGTCAGTACAGCTTCAAAAGACGGCGAAAGTCATCAAGGCAGCTGGTGGGCCTGCAGATCTCGTTGCAGACCTGCAGGAACGAGGCACAAAGCTAGCCAAGGCAGTTCGCGATCACGGCATTGTCCAACATCCCAAGTATGGAGATGTGTACGCATTCGAAGTTGACGGATACGGGTCACGTATTCTCATGGACGATGCCAACATCCCCTCACTGCTCTCATTGCCTTATCTCGGCTTCGTGGACAAATCAGACACCGTCTACCAGAATACACGCAAAATGATCACCGACAAGGCCTCGAACCCGTACTACCTTGTAGGTCCGCAGTTCCACGGCATCGGTGGTCCACATATTGGTCTTGAGAACGCCTGGCCAATGTCTCTACTTGTCCAGGCTATGACCTCTGACGATGACGCTGAGATTATTGGAAATCTCAACCTCGTGCGTAACTCTAGCCTGCTTGGGCTTGTTCACGAATCTATCAATGTTACCAATATCAAGGACTATACCCGTCCTTGGTTTTCGTGGGCGAACTCGGTCTTCGCGCAGACTGTCCTTAAGATTGCTGCTGAGAGGCCTCATTTGATCTTCGGTGCCAATGCAAAGCCTTATACTATCCAATAGGGTTGATAGAATGTCTGCTTGTGGTTTCGGTTTCTTTGGCGTTCTTTGAAAATACCCGTGGACCTCAATCCTGTCTTTATACCATATCATTATCTCTATTCATTGCATTGATTCTAGAATATGTCAGTCTTTTTTCAATGTCTTTACACCCAAAGTCAGACATTCTTTTCGGCAGTTTCTCAACAGTTTATCTAATGACCAGACTTCTAATGTCCGATGAGGTCAGTGATTGTGGCAATGTAGAAAACACATGGCGTACTGCACCACAATCAAGCGTATTGAGTAATATGAATGCTGCTGGGATAGCTTCCTTAAAGCATTGATTTCATACAACATAGTATACTCATAACCCAGTTCCTTTATTTCAACAAGAACCCACTCTTCTCTCATACTTTAGACTGTCTCTTCTCAAGCGCCTTTCGTCGAGTGCGAATTGCCTTTGTCTCCTCCCTCAGCGCCAATCCCGCCATAATCTCCTCACTTCCGCCGCCGACTACATGAACCCGAGCATCACGACTAATCTGCTCGATTCTAGCACCTTTACCAGCCTTGTTGTAGCCCGCACCCCCCATAATCTGCTGTGCTTCTCGGACGCTCTTCTCCAGAGCCCTAGTCGACATGACTTTCAGTAAGGCAGTCATGCCACCAATGTTGACGTCGTCAAAAGGACGGTCTTTGGTAAGTTCAAGGATATTCACAAGCTGTTCCATGAACGCATAGGCTGGCTCGATCATCAGACCAAATTTGAAGATCTTGGACTGGATTGCCTGCTTTGCAATCAATGGTGATCCGAAGGTCTCGCGTTGGACGGCGTAGTTGTAGGCATCTTCGGCACAGACTCGGGCGAGTCGCAGGGATGCACAGGCAAGGGCAAGGCGTTCTGGGTTAAAGTCTGAAAAGATTAGAAGCCTGTAAAAGCCCCTGGTTTGGCAACTCACTCGACATAATAAGAGGGAATCCTTTGTTCTCTTCCCCGAGCAGGTTGTCGATAGGGACGCGCACTTCTTCAAACTCGATGAAGGTCGAACCTATAGTTGTGTTAATTGATGTCTTCATGTTGAAAAGAACCACTCACCACTGGCATTCACGCCCGAGTTATGCATACGTCTGCGAGTCACCCCGGCAGTAGCCAAGGGAATAACAAGCAAGCTGATACCAGACCTTCCAGGGCCACCAGTCCTGACAGCAGCAGTGCAATAGTCAGCCCAGATACCATTGGTAATCCATTTCTTCGCCCCATTCACAATGTAATGGTCCCCGTCCCGCTGAGCCGTAGTCTTGATATTAGCAACATCAGAGCCGGCTGTGAAACCACGTTAACAATCCATTTCCTTATACTTCCACAAAAAGTAACAATTCACATACCATCCGGCTCGGTAATTCCCAAACAAAACCTAATATCTCCCCTGGCAACACCAGGAAGCCACTTTTTCCTCTGCTCAGCACTTCCAAAGCGCGCAATAGGCGGACATCCAATCGCATTACCACCACCAAGTCCCCAACTAACACCGACATATCCAGCGCGCGTGATCTCATCCGATACAATCAGCGAACACCACGTATCCCACTTCTCACGCGGTACATTTCCAGGCAGAGAGAGACCGGCCGAGTCCTCCTCGTTCGTGAGGGGATGGACAATACTGTAGCCAAGTCTGCAATGGCGCTTGCGTACGGCTTCGGGGACTTGTCCTGCTTCTTCCCACTCTGCGGCGTAGGGGGAGATGTACGTGTCGATGTATTCGCGCACTGTAGCACGCAGATTATGATGCAGGTCTGTATAGTATGGATTGCGGATGTCTAGTTGTGGGAGAAGAGGCTCGCTGTATGGGGCTGTTGCTGGGCGGAGGGTATCGGCCATGATGAAGTATTTGCTGTTACGGGAAGATGAATACAATGTAGATAACTAGGTAATAATATTGGAATATGGAATATGGCTGTATTTGATTCAAATCTCAAAGGTGGTTTTTGCGGGGAAGAGCAAGCTCGGTCGCCTGTGATCGTGGGGAGAGCTATGTAGACCGAGGTTGACCAATTGCCGTCACTATGGAAAAGAAAACCTCTCGATGCTTTTAGAGAGCCTATAAGGAGATATCTTCACTTGCTTTATTGAGGGGAGTTATGCATTTCTATCATTATTATGGGTATATGTGTATTAGAATCCAAGCTCATTGGTCCTTGTCCTTGTTTCCCTGTGTTTCCTCGTATCGTCGAACGGCTTTCTTCAACGCCCGCAAATGCTCCTTGACCTCCTGGCAGTTCCACCGCTGCTGCGATTTGGGTTCCAACATTGCTTTGATACATGCCATGAGCGAATCTGCGACTGAGATTCCGTTGTCCAGCACGACTGAGCCATAATCGACCTTGGCGGCGAAGTCTGCAGGGAAAATGGTGCGCTCGGACGGATCCTGGCCTGATCCGCGAGTCAGGTCATTCAACACGAATTGTCTTTCCATCTTTGTGTTTAAACGATAGACAGTCTCAAAGAGAATGACGCCAAGGGCATAAACATCCAGCTTTTCGTCAACCTTATATTCCTCAAAGTAATCCACTGGTGAGCTCGGGTCACTTGGAGGCGCAGATAGGTTGGCTGGAGGACGATAGAACTCGGTCCCAACTACCCGCTGTATATTTGGTCCCTCTCGGAATGGTGTCATAGTGCCCTGTGAGGCATCGTTGATGTGGGAGATGTCTGCCACAAGACCAAAGTCGCCGATACGAGGACGACAGAAGTGCACGGGGGAAGATTCGCCAGAGCTGCATGCAGTGCATATGTCTGCTGTGCTGTTTTCTGGTGCACACAAGAAGATATTTGCAGGCTTCAAGTCACGATGCACGATTCCCTTCGAGTGGAGGTACTCAACACCCGAAACAATGTCCGTTATAAGCTTTAGAGAGGGCAAGAGGTGGAAGCAATGGCGTCTAGGGAGTGTACACCCATCATACTTCGGAGTGGCTTGGGGGTTCAGATACGCGCCGAGCGAAATAGGATGGAGGGACATTTGGATGTGAAGAATGACCGCAGGGGGTTGCTGGCCAGGCCGAGAACGGGGTTGAACTTGAAGTTTAGACTGGTCTTGGCTCAAACCATCAGTAAAGATGTCATCGGTATCTCCGAAAGTGGATGTTTGGTCAACAGAAGTATTCTCGCCGAAGGTACGAGGAATAGATTCGATGTCATCATCTTCTTCGTCCAATCCCTTTTGGGAACTTTTCTTTGACCGACGAGACGAGTTAGTCGCGTGGCTCCCCCAGCGTTGGATGCTCTCAGTGAAACCGTGATCTTCAGGCAGAGAGCTTGACTGAGACTCGTGATCTGAATTTTCAGAATATCCAAAGACTATTCCCATGCTTGACTCGTTCGGGGTGCCCGGAGCAGACGCGCTGTTTTGCGACTCATCACATGCTGTGTGAGAAGGATGGTATTCGGCCGAAGGCGGGTGCGAGTGATGGGCCTGCTCAACCCATGCCCCGTAGTACCGAACAATATTCGTATGTTCAAGGCGGGCAAGTGTTCGAATTTCCTTCATAATAGCCTCAAGCTGATTTTGGCCTCCGAATTGCAGCTGTTCAAGTCGCCTTTGGCTGAGTGGGATTTTCTTGACCGCGTAATCTTGCCCGTCGATGTGGTTGGTGACATGGTATACTTCGCCGAAGGATCCGCGGCCCAATATCTTGAGCTCCTGAAATTCAACGGAATATCTTGACAGCTGATTATATGCTGGGGTTGTGGGAGAATGGAAAAGCGGAACCCCTACAGGTGAACTACCAAATAATGGAATTGAGGGGTTGGGGATGTTCATTGTAGCCCGGGGAAAGGCTGGAAGGAAATCAATGTTATTAGTAGGAGGAAGCTGTTTCCTGAACGATGAATTTGGTTCAGTGTTCCGCCGGAACAGAGCAGGAGTCTCCACGTCTTCAACGCTGGGCTTCTTTATCGCAGTGTTTTTTATTAATGCAAGATCCTCACCGGCGCCAATTGCAGGAGACCGCGCATGTGGTTCTTGCAAATTCATCTCTTCGAGGGCAGATATACCAAGCAAGTCAAGGTTATCCCGATAACTCTGCCTACTTGGCCCCATTTCCTCTCTGTCAATACCATCGGCCAAGATTCCATGAGATGACAGAAACTGTGATTTGAATTTGTATAGTTTCTTGCCAAGATACTGAGCCTCGGGGCTGTGTCGACTGAATGATTTCTTCTTTGAGCCACGTTGTGCATTAAGAATGTCTGCTGCTCGACTTTGACAATAAAATTCCAAGAGAGCAGCTGTCATCACGTTTGCATGTTGATCAACATTTACACCAACTAGATCCTGCGGTAATGCTGATCTATCGTCGAAGGAGATCGAAGAGTCTGGATCTGTGGAACCCGAGTCTTTTGGAACTTGCTTGGTCTTGTCCTTCCTCGGGCTGCGGGATTCATTATCTGCAGCTTTTCGAGGAGTCGATGGCCCAGATTCCTGAGTTTGGGTTTCTTCTGAGTCGGAGTCGGGATCCGAGTCGGATGATATGTCTGCTGCTGATCGGAACATCGACATGTTGGTAACACTTTTCATTCAAACAGCACACGCAATGAAGAATTGAATCAGCAATGTGCTGGCGCCATTGACGAGGAACGAAGTGTACAAATTACTTCAAGGAAAGAAGAAATGGAAGGGAAAGAAAGAAAGCAAAGGGCCCATAAAGTCGGTATGAATCGTGCCCTTTGAACAGTTGGGCTGAATGTTGCCCCGCAGTAAAAATAGAAGCTCTTTTATCAAGACAACGACGTAAAACTGAAAGAAGAACCGAAATAAACAGGCGTCAGTTGTCCCTTATACGGTCATGACACGTTGGCCTTGAGATCAAAAAGATGTAAACATGTCATAGGATCTTAGCGGGGCGATGACTCGAGCTTCCATCGGGTTCTACTAGGAATGTCTCTGGAAGGGCGCGGGGGACATGCAGCTCTTGGCAGAATTATCGAAGGTGTGTTGAGTCGAGTTTGAGACCGCACAGGGGAATTGGCAAATAGAAGTGAAGAAAGTAGACAAAGACTCGATTTACGATTGACTTGGAGTTGGTGCCAAGCCCTGAAAGGCGAGTCATCCGTTTCCAAACCAACTCGAGGTCAACGGCTTAGATGTACCACACCTACCTCCTCAATGTAGCTCTCTATATAAAATAGAAAGATAACATAATTTTGGTTCTTCATATGCGAATTTAATAGAAAATAAAGATATCTAGAGCTAAATATGTGTATACTTGACCTGTTGGGATTTCAACCAATCAGATCACTCCAAACTTTTTATTCAATTTAGCTTATCTTATCACACGTGACTCCCACGCGTAAACGTCACGTCCACGGGTTGAAGGCGCGACAGCGCGACTTTCACTAGGAGTTGCCCGCTCAACACAATCTCGAATTTACGAACTCCCCTCTCACCCCATCTCTTTGCCACAAAAATTGACCGTGACTTGGTACCCCTCGGTCTTTCAGTTGTCGCCATGCCTGAAGCTACCATCCCTCCCCAGAAGCGGGTGCTGGGCGATGCGGCTAATAATTCCAACGGTATCTTGAAACCTGCTAGTGCTCTTAAAAAGCGGAAGCTCGACAATGAACCATCTGTGCAATTTACACCATCCTCACAGATCGCCCGGCGAAAGATTGGCTCCACTCAACCACAGAAAAGTCAATTCGAGGAGGAGGTACTGGAGAAGTTGACGCAGGATATCGGTGACTTGAAGGAGAACAACTCGGAGAAGGACCAGCAATGGGAGCGCCCCCCGCTTGGTGATTTCGATGAGACCAAAGAAAACATCTGTTTCCAGCAGATTGACGCGGAGGAAGCAATCCTGATGGGAAAGCCTGCCATTCGGCTTTTCGGTGTCACCGAGGTAAATATATTTGCAACTCGCTGGATTTTCGTATCTAATCATATTCACAGGCTGGTCAATCAGTTTGCCTTCATGTCACCGGCTTTGAACATTACCTTTACATTGCTGCTCCTGTCAGCTTCACCAAAGCGGATTGCGATCCTTACAAACATTTCCTCGAGCAAAAGCTGGGCCAGAGCTTCCCTGCAATCTCGTCTGTACAGCTCACAATGCGCGAAAATATCTACGGATTTCAAGGAAACCAAAAGAGTTACTATATCAAGATTACGGTTACTGAACCAAAATTGGCCGCTCGATTGCGAAGTGCGCTAGAGGCTGGCAGTGGAAGCATGAACTACAAGGGCATGTGGAGCGGCGCAGATGGAATCCTCACATTTGATAGTATTCAATACCTTTTGCGTTTTATGATCGACACTGGACTGGCTGGAATGGCCTGGGTTGAAGCAATGGCTGGGAAATATCGTCTTCTTGCGCAGAATCAACGATTGTCCAACTGTCAAATCGAAGCCTGTGTCGACTACCGCCACATGGTAGCTCATCCACCAAATGGAGAATGGGCTAAAATGGCACCCCTTCGCATCCTCTCTTTCGATATCGAGTGTGCCGGACGGAAAGGTATCTTCCCGGAGCCTAATGTGGACCCCGTCATCCAGATCGCCAACGTTGTTACTCGATACGGAGAAACAAAACCATTCATCAGAAACGTCTTTGTCCTCGATACTTGCAGTCTTATCGTCAATACCCAAATCCTTGAATTCCAAAAGGAAGAGAAGATGCTCGACGCCTGGCGCGATTTCGTGGAAAAGGTGGATCCCGATGTTATCATCGGATACAACATTGCCAACTTCGATTTCCCGTACCTACTCGACCGCGCAAAGCATTTGAAATGCACTGGGTTCCCCTATTGGACCAGACTGAAGGGTTGCAAGACAGAGGCCAAGGATGCAAACTTTTCGAGCAAGCAAATGGGCAACCGAGACACGAAAGCGACGAATACAAACGGCAGAATTCAACTTGATCTTCTCCAATTGGTCCAAAGAGACCACCAGTTGAGAAGTTACACCCTTAATTCTGTATCCTACGAGTTTTTGAAGGAGCAAAAAGAAGACGTTCACCACACAATGATTACTGAGCTGTTCAACGGTACCCCCGATTCGAGACGACGACTGGCTGTGTACTGTCTGAAAGATGCATATTTGCCACAACGATTAATGGACAAATTGATGTGCCTGGTCAACTACACGGAAATGGCAAGAGTCACGGGTGTACCGTTTAATTTCCTCTTGTCTCGAGGACAACAGGTCAAATTCATCAGTCAACTGTTCCGGAAAGCCCGAGAGCAGCAACTGGTTATTCCAAATTCCAAGTCCCAGGATGAGCAAGATTACGAAGGTGCCACTGTCATCGAGCCGAAGCGAGGATACTATGGTGTGCCCGTTGCAACCCTCGATTTCGCATCACTATACCCCTCAATTATTCAAGCACACAACCTCTGCTACACGACCTTGCTCAATAAGAACAGCGTTGAGAAACTGAACCTCAAAAAAGACGAGGATTACATTGTCACTCCAAACGGAGACATGTTTTGCACAACCAAAGTTCGCAAAGGCCTTTTGTCCCAGATTCTCGAAGAGCTGTTGGGGGCAAGAAAGCGCGCGAAGAAGGAGTTGGCTACTGAGACCGATCCTTTCAAAAAGGCCGTGCTGAATGGTCGTCAGCTCGCTCTGAAAGTCAGCGCAAACAGTGTTTATGGTCTGACAGGTGCCACAGTGGGTAAACTGCCTTGTCTTCCAATTGCCAGTAGTACGACTAGTTACGGCCGTCAGATGATTGAGAAGACGAAGCAAGAGGTAGAAGCACGCTACACCATCGCCAACGGTTACTCTCATGATGCGGAAGTCATCTACGGTGATACCGATTCCGTTATGGTCAAATTCGGCGTCACCGAATTGGCAGATGCCATGAAGCTTGGCCAAGAAGCAGCCGACTTTGTTTCTTCTAAGTTCATTGCGCCTATCAAGCTTGAATTCGAGAAAGTCTATTTCCCTTATCTTTTGATCAACAAGAAGCGATATGCTGGACTGTACTGGACAAACCCCGACAAACCTGACAAGATGGACACGAAGGGTATTGAGACCGTCCGACGTGATAACTGCCTGATGGTTCAAAATGTTATTGAAACCGTGTTGAACAAGATTCTGATTGACCGAGACCTTGATGGTGCGCAAGAGTATGTCGCGATAACCCTCGAACCAAGCCATCAATAAACTAACATAATGTCTAGCTACGTCAAAGCCACCATTTCGGATCTTCTCCAGAACAAAATCGATATGTCGAAACTAGTCATCACAAAAGCGCTGTCGAAACGTAAAGAGGACTATGCAGGCAAACAGGCACACGTCGAACTTGCTGAGCGCATGCACAAGCGTGACGCAGGTTCTGCGCCAACACTTGGTGATCGTGTGGCCTACGTCATGATCAAGGGTTCCAGTGATTCCAAGGGATACGAACGAGCAGAAGATCCCATCTTCGTTCTAGAAAACAACATTCCCATTGATACCAAATACTACCTCGATAATCAGCTTACAAACCCACTGAACCGTATCTTCGAACCCATCTTGGGTGAGAAGAAGGCAGGCCAGTTGCTCACTGGCGAGCACACACGGTCTATCACCAAAGCAGCGTCAAACTTGGGTGGACTGATGAAGTTCGCCAAGAAAACCCAGACCTGCATGGGATGCAAGAAGCCCCTTTCTAGCAAGGACGAGATGGAAGGCGCCGTCTGCGCGAACTGCCGCCCCCGCCTCGGTGAACTTTACACCAAGACCCTGACCAAGGTCTCCGATCTAGAGGTTCGATTCGGGCGCCTGTGGACTCAGTGTCAGCGATGCCAGGGTAGTCTTCACTGTGAGGTCATCTGCTCATCCCGTGATTGTCCGATCTTCTACATGCGCATGAAAGCCAAGAAAGATGTGGAAGATTCTCAGAAAGATCTATCTCGATTCGACTTTGACGCTGGTGCTTGGTAAGAAGAGAGCGTTCTCCCTTGTATGACTTATTTGTTTGGATGATTTTTTTGGTGGTACGGTTAGGCTAGGTCTCGGGCATGGATGGCGTTACTTGAAAATAATGTACAAGATTGAAATAATAAGTGAGGCCTTCAAGTGGCTTGTCCATTATTGGTTTCTTTTGGTCCTTAGAGTTGCAAGATCCCTATAGACTGGAAATATAGACAATAAGGACAGTACAATATGTAACAAATAAACAATAAGGACAATATAGCATTGGGCTGAAATGAATCAGATTAAACAAATCCCCAAGTAAATCAAGTTAATCAAGTTAACCAAGTCAACGTCTTCTCTGTCGTGTAGTTAAAGCCCGGAGGCGCGTCATCTGCAAAGCCGAAGTCTTGGCGTGGAGAAGCTGCCGATCTTCAATTTCACCACTTCCACATGTCTAAGCCCACCATGAATCCTACGGTAGAGGATGAAGGGGACGATGTCCCGACCAGTCCAATGCCCAATCCAAAGGCCAATTCCAATGAAAATGACAAACCACTCTCTTGGTCGGAGGTACGTGTTGCGCAAAGCGCGAACTGAAAGAAATATGGACGTTTTGAGGAATATGAACTGTAACTGATCGGCTTCTTCTTACTAGATCTTCTCCCGTCATGAAGCCTTCCTCTGCTCTCACCTCAAAATGCTGAACCTGGTGAAGGAGCAGGTTGCTCCAGAGGTCACCCAGACGGTCTCGTCAATGATGAACAAAACCGTACAGGCGATGAACCAGCTGAAGGTGGCTAGAAAACTTACAGTGAGTATTCTGTTCAATCTTCTTTTTCTTCATATAACTGACGGTTTCTTCTTTAGATGAGCAGTATGTTCCAAGATCCTACCCCGGACACCTACCCCACCTTTTTACCAAAAGCAGGAATTGACATGACCTCAGAAAAGCCCACACCCTCAACCTCCACCAACACCACACAGTCCACTGACACAGAGGCCAATACTCGCAAGAAACGACGTAGAGTCTCCCGAGACCACGACACAGTCCGTGGACCTACGGACGAAATGCGAGCCCCCAAACGACACCGCGACTCTCCATTCCAGCCGACAACCGAGCCAGATGGAGAATTCACTTCGTCACATGAAACGGAGGATATTTCCGCGGAAGTACAGCGACGATTGAAAATCAAGGAGGAGCAACGTTTGAAGAGAGAGAACTCCAAACCGGATAAGCGCAAGCGCGACAGTCTCGCATCGAATGAAGGTGATTCATCTATTGCAGCCAGGCCTCGGAAGAAACGGCTTATAGTGGCAAATGCGCATAAGAGACATGGTGATTTGATGGAGAAGGAGGCGGATTCTACAAAGAAGAAGCAACGCAAATCGCCTTAAAAAGGAAGGCTTTTGAAGGAGATCATGAGTGATGCTGGTCCGTTACTTGATTTCATTTTTACTTCCATCGGACTTATTTGAAACCCACGGGGAAGAGGCAAGGATGCTTGCATTGAGAGCTTCTATAGTTGTTACTGAAACTCTTCTTAGCGATAACAATTACTCAGTGACACTTCCTATTTATGCCTTGTTGATCCCTATCAGGGAGGTATTCGATGGAGATATTACAGTCACCTCTATAGCCTCTTCTGGCGTTTCTCAGCAAAGTAAGGTTGGTTGATGTAAGCCAGAGCAGATTGGAAGGTTAGTCGAACTATGGTGTATTCGGTTTATGGATGAATGTAGATGGCTAATGCCGTATAGTAGCCTGCACTTTCGAGGTTTAGAGGGATTTCTAGTTCTCTTAAACCATTGGAGTTGCAGCATAATGTCAACACTAATGGCACTGGTGATACCAACCGCCTGCAAGACACGCTCAGATGGACTTTATTCACACCGGTAGTTGACTGGTGAATCATCTCAGGGTGTTGACTTCATATTAAATAGAGCACGGTACTCAATGTGAATTCTCATATGTACGAGTTTCGATTTCATCTCTACAGATATAGCAAAGAAGGCAACTTTGAAGAGCCCTAAGAAATATGTGATCATCTGACCCCGTTTGTCATTTCCAGTAGCTCCTCTTTTCCTCTCTTTTAATGAATCAACCATATATCTCTTCTCCGTCTCATATATATGGCTTAGCTAATTGATCTAATTGATACATCCGAGGTTCTTTTCTGGGGTTTTCGGTCATGATGACATTTGTGTTCCGCTTCCGCATTAGGGCATATTGAACTACATGTAACGTCTTTGTATAGAAGAAAGTCATTATCTTCACAAAAAAAAGAAGAAGGATTTAAAGTTCTTTGTTCTAGTGAAATAACATTTGGATTCTTTGTCTTTGACTTGATCACCCATGATACCCCGATAGAGAATGGTGTCAACATCCTCAATTGAGTACTCCGACACAGTTATTATTCCATTATTCTCCGATAGCAAGATGAACCAGCTCAATATAAATCACAAGATACTTTGAAGCTTTTCACTCTGCTTGGGTCCCAGAGACGAGAAATGGTATTAACAATCAAATATATTTGGTTCTACATCCATCTGCCTTCTGCATCAAGTCCAGCCATAGTCCCGATTCCATGTTGAGCTTCGGATGGAAATGTCCAAAGACTTCTCTTTAAATGGTCCAAAGTCAGAGAGTAGAAGTTTCTTTGTCCGTCTCCCTTTATGGCGAACAATGGTCTTATTGTTTGCTTTTACTTCTCAGTCCGACATCCGACTCTCCTTTAGGCTCGATATATACCGGCTCATCCCTCCATATATCATGGAATCTCAGTATAAAATATCAATTTGCCCTTACTTTTACCTTTAAATAAATCCAAGGAATCCAATATACATTCTCTAAACTCAGTACACTTCCTAGATTGGCTTAGTAGCACCTCCAGCTTGGAGTTATAAACCCCCCTCTGCTCACTGTCGAGTCGTGTTTTTCTTTCCTTCTTCACCTCACCCTGGGGTCATTCTCATATCAAAGCCAACCGTCTCATCTCATCAAAAAGTCACATTCCACTTTCAAATCGCCCAGTCAACTCTGTCGCAAGTTGTCGGGGTCAGGGAGCTGTCTTTAACTGTCGGACTTGGAGTGTACTTCGGCCTCTTGAGGTGACGTATCCCAGCTGAAGGCGCATATTCCTCCTTCCTAAAAAAAAAAAAAAAAAAAAACGGATTGAGAAGATAAAGCCCAGCCAAAGGGAAAAAAACAAGCCAAGAACAGAGACAACCGTTGGCATTCAACAAGTTGAAATCCGGCTTTTGGAAGTTCAGTCAAATGACCAGGCTTGCACGAAACTATTCCGGAGAAACAGGCTGTGGTAGTCCAAACGCCCATCAAAGCTTTGGTATAAGGAACTCTGAGATGCATTACTCCAATGGCTTTGTGCCCACTGGGCCCAGGTCTCACCAGGGCAATGGGCGTTCAAACTACAATGGCAATCCCAATCGGAATGCCAACAACAACTATGGAAAAGGGAATGGAAAGCAATGGAGGAACAACCGAAATGGCAATGGCAATGGCAACCAGTGGAACAATCACAACGGCAATGTCACTGGCAGTGCCAATAACACTGTCAATGGCAATGTCAATGGCCACTGGAACAACGCCCGCAACAACAATACTGGCAATCGCAATGGCAACCAGTTCAATAACACTCACACTGGAAATGCCAATGGCACTGGCGTGGGAAAATACAAAGGCAAGAACTTCAACCCCAATTACAAGGGGAAGAACTTCAAACCCAACTACTCTCGTGCCAACCCACGCCATTTGTCTGCCACCCGATCAATGCCTGTGCCTGTGCCAAATCCCAACATCGACGTCGAGATGGCGGACGCGCCATCCGACGAACCAGTAAGTTGATCCCTCCATCCATTTTGTAAGATATCAGTTGCTAACATTGAATTCAGAGGGACATCGAGATGCCAGACGCACCACCGCTTCTAGATCCAGTGAGTGATATCTGGGAGGCAGCAAAAAGCCTACAACATGCACTAACATCTTTACAGAGGATCGAAGCCTTCACTATGGGTGCGTTTGCAATCAAGCAAATGGTTAGTCCTTCCCATTTCCAATTCAACCCCGCTGCGTTCCATCAACCTGTCTTTCATCATCCTGATTTTCATTCCTCTGCTTTTAATCCTACCTTCCAGCGCCGTGTTTTCCGTCCCCCAACTTTCCACCCTCCAGATGTCCATCCCAAGATCATCAGTTCTCCGAAGTTGCAAGGAAATCCTGAGTGTAATTACTTTTTCTAACATCATAACAGGCTGAGAGCATGCTGGACATGGCAAAAGAGTTGGACCCCAACTATGGCTACATTCCAACCTGAGCTCCACTAGACAGCGGCCTCGCCAACCCTCTCTAGTCGTCTCACAAAAAAAAGGAGCATGCCCACATCAATCGGTCATCTGTCGTCTGCCGTTACAACTGGGTCCAACACATGTCCGCATGTCCGATCATCATCAGTCGATCATTACATGTCCACACTGAGCATCATCAATCTGTCGTTACATGTCCACGTCGAGCACCACCAGCCCCAAGACCTCTGGGTTCATCAATGGGTACGATCCGTCTGGGACGGTTACGACCCACCCAGAGTAGGGCCACTATCAATCGGCAGCTGGACTCCTGCCCCAAAACCTCTGGGTTCCTCAAATAACCCAGAGTAGGGCCACTATTGACCGACATCTGGATCTGCCTCAAGACCTCTGGGTCCCCCAATCCACCTGGTCCCAGAGTAGGGCCATCCACCGACATGGACTCCCGCCCCAAGACCTCTGGGTCTCTTCAATGGTATGAACTGTCTATGACGGACAACCCACCCAGAGTAGGGCCACTATCAACCGGCACCTGGATCTGCCCAAGACCTCTGGGTCCCCAAATCCACCCAGAGTTAGGCCATCCACCGACATATACCCGCCCCAAGACCTCTAGGTTCATCCAATCGGGTACGAACCGTCTAAGACGCGTACCCACCTAGAGTAGGGCACCAAAGTCTCCATCGAGAGACACACAAATCTGGTCCTGGTGTTGACGGTGCACCGGTGCACAGGTTGCCTGTCAACAGGGAGGACCAGATTAAGACCGGGAAGAAGCCCGGTGGAGGAAAAGGGATTCAAATGGGCACATTGTGCAAAAAAGCACATGTGCCAAGGAGGAAACAAAGGGACCTGTATTTAGATTTGCAGTCCTGGTCATGGTTTTTACCGAGAACCCAAAAAGGGCCGGGTTTTCCCATGGCCCCGTCGGATGAAGATATCAACATCATCAGCATCATACATTTTTCTCATCCCACGGCTCGAATGGGGGGACTTGCCATTTGATATCATCTGTGCTGGCACATTTTTCATGTTTGGCATTTTGTTGAATATATTTGGGTTTGACATGGATATGGATGTGAGGAAATTTTCATGTACTGATCTGGTTGGCTTGGGCTCTCGCGAGGCCATGATCGTTGAGGGTCCTAGCTTTCCAGATGGGATGGAGGAAAACTATATATCCTTGATCAAGGGTCTCTCGCGATGCCATAGTCGTAGGGGGGCTCTTGGTTTTTAGAATACTTTGAACTGGATTTGGTTGGTTTGTGAGTCTCTTGCGATGCCATGGTCGTTAGGAGGCTCACGCTTTCCTTCCAGATTGGATATACTTGAGATTGCATGTACCTTGATCAAGGATCTCTCGCGATGCCATGGTCGTGGGGAGGTTCTTGATTTGGGAAGAATGTATGTATTTTAAAATCAAGGAGTATTCTCCAGTTGATTTCTTGTAGGCTTGTAGAAACCGTAGACTGTAAATAGTATCAAGTACCTGGCTATTCTGACTAATGTTTTCTTACACTCTTATTTGCCTATATTGTTCATCGTACACGGACGTTCTACCATTCGCCACCTATCTTCCCTCTATACAACTTCTATTACTTGATCCTAACTTCACATCTCTGTCCTGGGTGCTTGAGAGAGTTCGGTCTCGTTCAGGCTCTAACAGGTACGAAAGTTCGTAGTGAATGATATTTATCTACTCAAACCCGTAGTATATCTCTAACTACCTTTCGGTCATGTCCGTATGACTTGAGCAAGAACCACTAATATATCCCCGTGGACATACTGACTTCACAATATATTGCCACTGTCGAATCCTTCGATCTGCTCAATGTTACCTCGTGACTAGGAAATTGTGCTTGAGCGTGCAAGATTACGCCAAGTGTTTTACATTCCTGGAAATCGGTCTATTTCTCGATGATTTATGAATGTCCGTATGTAGTGATTGAACACAGCTATCCCATGAATCCCCTGGGGCAACTGTATAATGTTACGGAGTAACAAAATGTTCCCGAAATAGGAATTTGATATGACACTGCCAAGTCTACGGAGAAGTCCGTATAATTCTTTTATATATAAATTAGATGCAACTACATTGCACTCTAACCGCTTTCTTTTCTCTCTCCGAGTTTATCTACAAGGGGGCTGTTTTAGTAGCCCTAAGACTTGCATACACCCCACATTGGGTTACAATATAGGACTTCAATATTTTAGGCACTGCATAACATACAACAACAGAACCGTTATCCCCTATAACTCGGCAGCCCTTCCCATCTTGTCTCATAGTGTCGGCCCCAGCTTGGCAGCCCCCGGCTTGGCGGCCCCCGATTGACAGCCCCCCGATCTTGGCAGTCCGATCTTAATCGTATAGAGTAGTGGTTTGGCTTGGTATACAACGATATATATGATATACCCCACTGTGGGGGAAACACTCTTGATATTAGTGGTATGTTCGTTCGACTTTGTATATAAAATGATCTACATGATATACGTCACAGGAACAACTGTTAATAGAGAACTTCGAATTTATAGACCGCATGCTTTCAATATGACCCTCTAAAAGGTATATAAAGGGAGAACCATCCTCTCTCTAAACTCCATCAATCTCCATTCCAATTCAATCTTCCTCTGCCAACCTTTACATTTCACCATGTTCAAGTTCGCTACCACCGCTTTGCTCTTCGCCTCCTGCCTCCCGACTGCTTTCGCAGCCAAGTGCTCTGCCGTGGGCTGGCAGCACCAGACCACCATCCGCGGTGGAATGGTTGGTGACATGGGAGTCTACCTCTACCGTGGCGATCAGAAGATCGGCGAGGCCAAGCAATGCATGAAGTGCGAAACTCCTTGCACCGACCTCATGAAGATTGAGGGTGATGGTCTCGAAGACACCTTTGCCTGGGCTGCAACCTGCAACCTCAACCACTTCACGTATGAAAATTTATTCTATTAAATACAGAATTATGACTCTCTAACTTACTTTTTAGCGAGTGCCACGGTGCTTACGCCACCCAGACCCATATCGATGGTCTTCCTCCTTCCAAGGACGGCAACGCCTACGGTATTTCCGCTGGTGTCAGCTCTCAGTGCAAGATTGAGTTCGACTGTTAGATATAACCATGGGGCTGGAACTTGGTCATTCATTTGATTATGAACGTATCTTTGGTCTGTGTAACTAACTGCATATCCTTTCGAGAGTATGAAGGCTATATAGGGTGTCAGATATATGGCAAAGGAGCATAAGAAATTGAAATTCTGCTATGGCATCTTAAGACATCCAATTCTTAGTTTTAAAGTGAACTTGTAACTGCCTCTAGTTAAAGTGAAAGTAAAATTCTATCTCTCCACTGATGATCTGCCCTAAGTCGCTTGTAGATCATAGAGTACGTTCCAAAATGGATGCCTTTAATGTTTGAAATATTCATTTGAAGGAACGAGAAGTATTAATTGGTTCATTTGATATTGGCCCAAAGACAAGGGCTCAAAGCTCAGGCATAGGCTGAGATGGTTAAGATACATTCAATCCTCAAACTTGGGCATGGAACACATAGATTTCCTCAGATCTCCATCCAGCCCAGTTTTTTTTGGTTTCCCTCAGAGCATCCACAGCACATTCTCGTACAGCTCTCCCTCAGGCTGACCAGTCGCTTGCATCATAATGCCAACCGACTCCTCCACTCTGATCCGAACGGAGCGGACTTCCTCGAGTCTGACGACAAAACGCAGTGCATTGTCAATGACAAATTGTTCTTCGAGTCTGATCAAGCCCTGATAGTGAGCGGTGACTCGGTGGGCATCGAACTCATGGAACGCGCTGTCGTGATCAGCTGACAGCGTGCCGTGGACGCAGATAGTCACCTTGAGATCTGTGAAATCTTCGAAGACACTGGCAAAGCTCAAAGTGTCGCTGGTAATGGCGTCCCAGTGGGCCAACACAAGCTTGACATCGCGATCGTACTCTCGGGCATAGATCATTACGTCGGTGATGGACAGGAACGAATCGCAATTTTCATCCAGCGGGGTGACGGATTTATGGATCAATGGACAGTTGATGTAGGTCCGGTTCTCCAGGCTTCCACACTTGCGCTCATACGCCTCCCGGAGCTCTGTCAGAGCGGGCCGAAGATAGTACTTCAGCTGGTTGAGGTCATCGTAAACGCGAGGCGGAGCAGCGCGAGCAACAAAGGCAATCAGAGGCTCCGAGGCACGGCCAGTAGGAGGGCCCTCGGGAATTCCCATATGGAAGCTTTCAGTGGATTCAGCCATCTCGAGATCGGCGCTGACGGGTTATTAGATTCATATTCTTTGGATAGGGGCAGGGAGCAATGATACCTTGGTCACACTTGATTAGGAGATGTTGGAGAAAAGAAGAGGATGAAGAGAGAAAGCATCATTTTAAATAGTGAGGGTCGATGGTGGACGATATCAGAACAAACTGTACTTCTATTGGAAGGTCAATAAAATCAATAAAGTCAATGAGGTTAAGGAAGCATCCAATCGGGGTCTTATTCACCTATTATTGAGGTCTTTGGGGTTGCTGAAAAGGATTGTCGAGATGGCTGTTTCGCCTTTTGAGGTTATCGATGGCCATTCTTCTTAATAGTCCAGGAGATTGTCAATTACTTTTTGATATTCGAATCCGGACTTGTTTCTGCCTCATCAAACAAGCACAGAGGCCTTGACATATTCTAATCGGGCCAGAGACTGTGTTCTCACGAGTAATGCAAGGCCATTTACCAAGTTAGGTTATTACATAGTAGTATCCTACTCTTTCGATATATATCTAATATATCACAGACTTGATAGATAGCCCTACAAGGCTTTTATTGATATTGTTCCAAGCCGATTGAATGACTTATTGGTAATAAAGAAGCTAAGCGTGAATTTGATCCTCCTATCAAAGGGTTGAAGTTGCTATGTTATATGTTATATAGCGGCATACTAAACCGTTGGGATCGCGGAGATCTCAACCCGCCAATAGAGTCAGCCCCAGATGGACATAACAGAAACCAATTCATAGTTGAAATAGTTCATTTCCAATATATCCAAGGAGAATCAAGTAATAAAGAATATAGCGGAAATAGTATCCTTATAGAAGTTCATATCGGAACCGGCCTGACTTCCCTCACCGGGCGGGCCCGATCTGGAAGCTGACTAAGACGGCAAAATTGAAGAGAGTTGTTGGGAAAAAGGTGCTTATCATCTTCATACCATCTCCAATTCCTTCACAAAATGCTCTTCCGTGCTGCGGTCCGTCAGACTGCGCCTTTGAGGCGTCAGGCCTTTACCCCTATTGCCCGTCGCAATGTCACCACCGACGCTGCTTCCTCCAACGTCGAGAGCCCGGTGCCGCAGGTTTGTTGAGCTCTATCCGGAAAACTGAAAAACCTCACCGGAAGGTTTCCGGAGTTTCAATTGCTGATCCTGGTGTGCGCTATAACAGGAGGATGATAAGCTCTTCACTGTCCGTCTTTCCGATGAGAGCTTCGAGACCTATGAGCTCGACCCACCCCCGTACACTCTCGAGACCTCCAAGAAGGAGCTCAAGCAGATGTACTACGACATGGTCGCTATGAGGTACGATAATCATAACAGATGTCTCTGCACCGGTTACTGATTGCTTGTTTGCAGACGTATGGAGATGGCCGCCGATCGTCTGTACAAGGAGAAGAAGATCCGGGGTTTCTGCCATCTGTCGACCGGACAGGAAGCCGTTGCTGTCGGAATTGAGCACGCCATCACCCGCATGGACAAGATTATTACCGCTTACCGTTGCCACGGTTTCGCCATGATGCGTGGTGGAACCGTCAAGTCCATCATTGGTGAGCTTCTCGGTCGTCGTGAGGGTATCGCGTACGGCAAGGGTGGTTCCATGCACATGTTCGCCGAGAACTTTTACGGTGGTAACGGTATTGTCGGTGCCCAGGTGCCCGTCGGTGCCGGTTTGGCCTTCGCCCAGCAGTACAACGAGCAGCCCAACACCTCCATCGTTCTCTACGGTGACGGTGCCTCCAACCAGGGCCAGGTCTTCGAGGCCTTCAACATGGCCAAGCTGTGGAACCTTCCCGTTCTCTTCGGTTGTGAGAGTAAGTGCTTTATTCCAAGTCTTTTACAAACCTCGACAAACTACAGATATACTAATCTATTCCTCTAGACAACAAGTACGGCATGGGTACCTCCGCCTCGCGCTCTTCCGCTCTCACCGAGTACTACAAGCGTGGCCAGTACATTCCCGGTCTGAAGGTCAATGGCATGGACGTCTTGGCCACCAAGGCTGCCGTCCAGTACAGCAAGAACTACGCCATCTCCGGCAACGGACCCCTCGTCCTAGAGTACGTCACCTACCGTTACGGTGGCCACTCCATGTCCGACCCCGGTACCACCTACCGTAGCCGTGAGGAGATCCAGCGCATGCGCAGCACCAACGACCCCATCGCTGGACTCAAGCAGAAGATGCTCGAGTGGGGCGTCACCTCCGAGGAGGAGCTCAAGGGTCTCGACAAGACCGCTCGTGCCAACGTCGACGCCGAGGTCGCCGAGGCCGAGAAGATGCCCGTCCCCGATAACACTGCCCGCAACCTCTTCGAGGACATCTACGTCCGTGGCTCTGAGCCCAAGTGGATGCGTGGTCGTACCGTCGATGAGACTTTCTACTACTAGATTGTGTCGCCCTATAGGCACTTCTGTGCATCATGGAAGAGCTTTTAATCGTTGTGTGAAGGCTCGGAAAAAAATTCCTGGGTCATTCTATCATTTATCTGTAATTTAGCCCGATGACTATTTTCTCTTATGTTTGTTTACTTGTTTTCTGTTCTAGAGTAGAGAGCAATTGCCATCGGCTGGGTCCTTGTCAAGTTAAGTGCATCAAATTTTAGGAAGTAGTCTTGCAAATGTCTTCAAGAATATCAAAAGACTTCGTAATCTCAACACTGAGGATATGCAGGCACGCCGTCCTTCGTCGGTAATGGGTATCATATCAGAAAAGACAAAAAACACCGTAAAAGTACAAGCAAAAATAGAAGTGAGACAGCACAATAGAGATGAACCGAACTAAGACTCCTGCATCAAGCAGGCTCCTGTCTCAACATCTCAAGAATCAGGTCCTGAGTCCGCTGCAGGGAATCCAGCTTTTCTTCCATCGCAATACGTTCGCGCTCCAGCTCACCTCGAAATTGGGCCCGCATCTCCTGCCGGAGCTCTTCCTTCATCTGTTCAATTTGAGTCTGAGTCGGAGCTTGCGGTTGTGGCTGTTGCTGCAATCCAGGCTGTACTTGCTGGTGCTGTGATTGTCGGGGAGAAGGCAGAGGCGTTGATTCCGAGGCAGCCTGCACCAAAGCTGAGATCATGGGCGAGGCGGCACTCACATCTATGCCGCCCCCCGATGCGGCGTCTAGATGTTTGTTCAGTTTTCCCAGGGTTTCGAGGACGGCTGAGGCCATACGGCCGTCGGATTGTGGAACTGGTGTGGATATGGAGGGAAAAGGTGCGACTTGTGACGTGAGTTGTGGGGTCGAGAACATGTTCTCGAAACCAAGTGGTAGTTTCAGTGAAGTGGTCGCAGAGATAGGGGTGGACGGTTGTTCGAGGAAATGCGTGGGTGGTGCAGGGCCAGTGATCGAGGGCGAGGGTGTAGGGCTGGTAGCCGGGAGAGTTGAATCGACGGTGTTTGCGACAGGGTGCATCATACTCATCATTGAGGTGTTGACATCAGTCGGGCTAGTAGCAGATGATCCAGGGAGGCTCTGCCATGGATCCTGGTCTCCGTTTTTGGAATTTTGGCGCCAAGGCTGCGGCTGTCTACGCTTCTTAAGCTCATCCCGCTTTGCAATGCGCCGGTTCTCAGCTTCTTCCCACCGCTGCCAGGTCGGAAGCCAGGCATCGACGGCAGCGAGCCATTGCGGGTTCATCAGCTCCTCCGCCATTGAGCCGGGTGCGTTCGAGCCCCGCTGTCGCTGATCCTCAAGAAACTTGATGCGCTGCCTCGTGACCATTTCGACTTTGCGCCGCACCGAGTGCCATGAGTATGATCGGCCATCGTGAGTGCGCTTGAACTCGTCGGCAATGGATATCCACCACTTGCACAGATTACTGCGGCTGCCGAAGGTGTCGGCGTTTTGGTTACAGATCTCGAAGAGTGCTACTTCTTCTTTGGTTGTGAGACGTCTGTGTTGCCGTGAAGTGTCACCATCGAGCTCATCGTCGGCATTGCGGCTGCGCTTCGTTCCTCTGTTAGTGGTTGATCTCGGCATCAACCTTGACTCATCTCCTTCGGTGGTTTGAGCTACGCTCACTGGCATCGGCGCATAATAGAGGTCGCTATCTAGGATACCTCCTTCACGTGAATCACTCCCAGTTAAGTTTGTTCCTCCAGGTGCCTCTTCACTGCTCTCTGATGTGTTATCGATCGTAGGTGGATTCCTCACTACCACAGACACAGACTGGGAAGCTGGGCTGAAACCTGAGCGCAGGCCCGATGGTACTGTACCAAAGGGATTTTGTGAAGGATGGTGATATGAAGCACGGCTGTATTCGTGTGGGTGAATGCGCGTCATGGGGACAGCAGCTTGCTCAGTAGCTGAGAAGCAGCCGCTGTGGGAGACCAACAAGATAAATTGGATGGTCTGTAGAATCCAGGAGATAGTCTCCTTGTCTCAAACCAGGCATTCAGCCATCGATAGGATGACAATATTGTAGAAGACCAATGCAGAATGTCTTTGTCGATCTGTGGGGATAAAGATAAAGCTGCGATGGATTTCACCTGGAGGGTTTTCTATGAGGTCCGTGCGCCAAGAGCCCTGGTCTTGTAGACTACAACATAGGAATGAGCTTCAATTTATAAGAATTTAGAACATTAAGGTGTCCATACAACTTCGTGTAAGGTTATAATACATATCTATTTGAGCATTAAAAGTCAGCTGTACGTAAAGGGCTATTTTAGTTATGTATAATATCCACCCATAATAAGTGGGAAAAGCAGCCATATCTACTGAAGGGTCATACTGGCTAATCTACCAAGTGAAACAACAGCATCAATAATATATCCATTTACAACAACATCATGGCTATGGTGGTACAGGGGTGGAGCTGGCACAAAAAGCTCCAAAGACAAGTAAAACAGGAACCAACACCATGGTCAACATGATCCAGAAATATGCAGAAAGGGATGAGGGAGATCTAAGCGCCCACTAATACACATATGGGAAGTTTAGGGGAAAATAGTAAAGTAGTAGTGACAAACGAGAAAGGGACAGGCTAGGCAGAGAAAGACAGGCCAATCGAATCCTCTACCACCGTCTCCTGAGGTACCAGCCATAAGCCGGAGTGGCAATGGACTCGCCAAAGGGAGTGGGAACCTCAGCGGAACCGGGGCGGGCCACGGGGTGGCGCAGGTACACAGCTGCACAAATGTTCTGGTTGACCTCGAGGTAGCGCGGGATGAAGGCAAATGCAGACATGTATTGACGCGGCTGCCAGGGGGTGGAGTAGGTCTTGGAATTGTCGAGAGGGTTGTCGCGCATTTGAGTGAGAGCCCGCTGAAGCGTCTCGAACTCTTCGTCGCTGAGCTCTGAAGAATCAACATCTTCACCCAGTGTTGCCTGTGCAAAGGCCTCGGAGAGCTTATCGCTGACTTCGACTTCTGTATCTCGCTTGGCGGAAGCCATATCTGTATGTCCGTTGTCGGATGCAAAGGCATCTTCTGGGCGGGGCTTCGCCTCCTTCTTAGCTGGCTTCTCAGCCCGCTTGGCCTTGAGCAGCGTGGTCAGCTGGGAGAATTGGGCCTCCAGGCTGTCTGCGAGGATGACGCTGGACTCAGAGCGAGACAACACGCGGCGAACAGCTCGTTGGAAGCCGCGGAGCTCCTGTTTGCGCTGGGGCGCGAGTGTCTCCTTGCCGGCAGACATGACAGCCTTGGCTTGAGCTAGTAGAGCCTTAAGAGTCTCTTTAGTATCTTCCTTCGGAGTATCCTCGGTATCTTCCTTTGCGGGCTCCTTTGACTCCTTAACCTCTGGTGCGGCCTCGGCTTCCCCTTCCTGTGACCTCTGTGCCTTGGCCTTTCTCCGAATCAATCGGCCCTGACGTCGCTCGAACGGACTCTTAGTGTGACCAGTAGCGTACAAAACGCGATCTGGATCGACCTGGAAGAGGTCACCGGGGTTAAGGAGGTAGCTAGGGTGTTTCATCTAACACAAAATCGAGTTAGTAACACGGAATTGATAGTTTCCTACATCACATCATACCTTTTGCCCATTAACAGTAACCGCTCCGTGGATGACAAACTGTCTCGCCTGTCTGGCGCTGCTAGCAAACAGAGCTCGGAAAATGGCCACATCCAACCGGCGCTCCAGGGGCGCAAAGGTCATGTGGCTGTAAGGTGTAGGACGCGCTGGGTAAATCTTTCCATCCTTACCAAGTCCTGAACCACGACCAGAGGAGATCAGGGAACCGTCATCGGCAGCCAAATCGGCGGCATTCATGGGGATAACACTGCGAATGCGATGGTTGAACATGCGTTTCCATTGTCCCTCACGGACTTGCTCGCCGTGATAGGCACGGGATGCAGCCTTAGCGGACCACTTTTGCTGGAAGAATGTACGATTGATGGTAGGGGGGCTGCGGAATCGCTGCAAATTATACAGGTTGTATTTGCTCCATGATTGACGGATTTTCTGAACAGCAGCTTGTTAGTCTTTCGAAATTGGGGGGTATCAGGTATAGTAGTAGAGACATACTCCTTTCGACAACGTGTTACTAGCTCTGTTTCTCATTGTGGCGATGCTGTAGACACAGTGCTGTAACTATAGCAAATGATATGTTATCCAGAGTCCGAATTGGCCGAGTCTCAAAACTTCAGAGCACGTGACTGTGAAAAAATTGGATGCCTCAATTATCAGGAAGAGATAGGCTTCCATGCGGGATGCAATGTTTGTCTAGTTTGCATCTAACGCCATGCAAGTGGTCTGATAGCTGATTGGTCGGTCCACTCTCGCTTAATCCACCGCCCTGTTTTGGTTCTGCCACCGCCCGGGAAAGTGTATATATAGCTCTCTCTCCCCCGCCTCTTCCTCTTCTTTTTCTTTTCTTCTTCATACTTACCTTGTTTGGGTGACTGCGATCAACAAGGCGGTTCACCACAGACTGGTCCCTGCATTGCACAGCGCGGAGGAACAGTCTGTTCAATGGCTTTCGGGTCATTGACAGGCGTATTCTTTGGCACCTCCATTCGTGGAATATATTCTTTTTCATCAATCCTTGAGCCAGTGGCACGAGTTTGGAGAAGAGGACAACATAGTCAGTTCATTGTAGCACCCCTTAGTATTTCATTGCTAGGGACCTTTGCAGACAAGTGAAGTTCATCTTAGTCTTTCTGTCTCCCTTAATTATTGGCCCATGAAAAGTATCCGTCTTGTCTCATTTCTCTACGTGAGGTCCTGTTGAGCGGACACGCTTTGTCTGGAATATGCGTGAGCTGTCGCATGATGCACCCCACACTCTTTTTTTTTTTA